TGTGTTTCTACTAATTATCCAACTCTGTGCTATTGTTTCTCCAGCTATTTTTTACATGTTTATGAAGATAATTGTAATAAATTTGTACTGGTTATCCAACTTATCCGTGTTTCTTATCCAACGTAGTTTTTCTTGTCGTTCTTTTTTAAATGATTGTCCAATGTATTCATTGTGATTATCCTACTGCTCGGTATCGATTATCCAACCATTTGTTTTTTACTTTTCGTGAAAATCATAGTCCATAACGTTATACTGACTATCCGACTATTTTTTATTGGTTATCCAATTATTTTGACAGCTTATCCAAACATAATTTATTTTCTCTCTCTCTCTCTTTTTTTTCTTTTGAGAAAATGTTATCTAATGTGTTCATACTAATTATATATCCAACTTTTTAGTGATGGTTATCTAACTTTTTTTTCCTTATTTTTTTTATGAAAATGGTTGTCCATTTTTTTTATATTGATTATCTAACCAGTTTGTACTGCCTATCCAATTATTTTCTTTCATTATCCAAATAATTTGTAATACCTATCCAATCATTTTTTTCTTTTTTTCTGGAAAAATGGTTATCCAATATATTTATACCGATTATCCAAACGGTTTAGTTTGTTAGTGCCTATCCACTTGCTTTGTACGCCCTATCCATCACTAAAGAATGTTAAAGAGAGTTCAAATCGATATGCTTACCCATTTATTTTTATTTTTTTTACTTATCCGATATTTTTCTACTGGTTATCCATTATGTTTTTACTGTTTATCCAATCACTTATTTTGTAAAAAGTGGTTATCCAACGTCTTAATAGTTGTTATCCAACTGAATGGTACTACTTATCCAGCCATTTTTCCTCTTATCCAAACATTCTTTTTATTTTAATTTTTACGAAAATCTTTGTCCAGTTTGTTTGTACTGACTATTCAACCGTTTTGTGCTAATTATCCAAACAGAATTTGTACTACTTGTCCAATTTTTTTTTTTTTTTTTTTGAGAAAATGTATATCCAATATATATGTGCATGCTGATTATCTAACTTGGTGATGGTTATCAAACTTTTTTTTTTTACTTCTTTTTTATGAAAATGATTGTCCAGTTTTTTATAATGATTATCTAACCAGTTTGTATGTCTTACCCTATTATTTTCACTGATTATCCAAATAGTTTGTAATACTTATCCAATCATTTTTATTTTTTAAAAAATGGTATTCCAATGTTCTCATACCGATTATCCAACCAATGGTTTGCACTGCTTCTCCAACTTTTTTTTCTTTTTCATTTTTTTTAAATATCCTTATCCGTATTTTTTAAAATAATTATCCAACCGGTTTGTACTGGTTATCCAATTATTTTTACTGTTTCTCCAAATCGCGGCAGCTATCCATTGGTTTCTTAGTGCTTATCCAACGTCTTTGTACTGGTTACCTAACACAAATACTTTCTTCTTCTTCTTTCTGGATTATTTTTATTATTTTTATTTTTATTAAAAAAAATCAATATTGCTCTTATCAGATAGATCTCGTCGAGCACTACAAATTTAATTTGTAATTCGTTTTCTAATTCTTTACGAATTGAGAGATATAAATTTTATAAGAATATCAATATAAAATTAATTGGTTATTTATTTTTTTAAACTAGATATCTATCTTATTTCTTCATCGAAATTTGATCATTTTTAAGCTCGAAAAAAAATTCGATATAGATCTTTTTGTTTAGATCTCGACGAGTACTATAAATTTCATATATAATTCGTTTACAAATTTTTTTACGGATGGAGAGTTTTTTTTTTTTTTTGAAAAGGTATTGAGAGATATGATCGTTTAAATATTAGAGATATTTTTTGGATGAGAGAAAAAAAGTGACAGGAACTAAACTCGTAAAATATAGGAAATTATTTAGAAGAGAGGGAAATGAGTTAATAAAGACTAGTAATGCAAAAAAATAAGAGGGTGAATCATGCTCCCGGGTGCATCTAATATACACTCAGTTTTTTAACTCCACCAATCACAGTTATCCTCTTTGTGTTGTATTTATCTGACTTGTGAATTCCGACAGATAAGTTCATCTTCAATTAATTCGGAATAGCACGGTGCCCTAAAAGTATTTATTTAATATAGCAAGATAAAGTCTTCAAAAAATAAAAAACTTATTTTTAAACTAAAAAATTTTTTCACCCTCTTGGACATACAAATTCCCAGTTGCGAAACAATTCTGATTGAAAAGTCTCAAAAAAAAAAAAAAAAACGAATGAAGGAGACAACACAATAGATCCTTTTTAGGTCATCAAGGGATGGTGCTTTAGCCTTTAGGAAAGCAGCAGCTATAGTTTTAGTGAACAATCAATTCTTCGACCTCGGAGAACATGTGGTATGTTGCAGCATTATGACGAAAGTCGACGACTCAAGACAAACGATATAGGATATCTTAAACCAATGCTCCCATCACTCCCATCACCGATTATTTTGAAAAGAAAAGGATGCATATGTTGTAGATAAAGGTAAATTATGGCTACCTGTCTAGGTTTTGAAAAATATGAAAATATGAAATGCAAAGGTTTCTTGTGAAAATTCAGGAATCAATAGTTCACGACTTAACATCTCCTATTTATTTATATTTTTATACAAAAATGTCATCACACCGAAAACGTCTGGTGAACCCATTTCGCAACTTTCACGTGACGTTTATGAAAAGAAAAAAAAAAAAAACAATCAATCTCATGTAATACTAATGTCTAATGTGTTAACGCACTGAGATCACTGAAACATTTCCAGTAATTATTTCATAATCTTAGTTAAATCACAGAATTCTTTTTATTTGACGAGAATAATTAAAAATCGAAGAAACTCGATAATGATATGAAATTACCATACTTTTTTTTTTTTATCCCAAGATGATTATCAAAGATAGAATGAATACATGGTAAGAAATGGAACACGTCTTCCGTTCACTAGAGAAGAAGACAGTCCGTTTGCATGTGAGGAAAGTTTGCAAGAAAGCTCTACAATTCGTCCATTTATTGATTTTTATATATTAAAGTAATATATAATAATACATTGAACTTGATGGTTTACATACAGCCACTTGGTTTTTCAATTAAAAGTAGCATTTTTTGTAGTCTGGACGATGATGGATGCGTTTATCTTCCTACCTACGAATATTTATATACGTTTTGGCATGTGTCCTTGGGACGGGTCACGTATTTTTTGTTAACAATAAATGTACGAGTGTACCTTCTTTGTACAAAATAAATATTTTCTCTGTTCCATAATTATTGTCCAGTTAGAGTTTGAATTTTCATTTCTAGTTCAAATCGTACTAAAAGTAAAATCTCAAACTGGACAGTAATTTTAGGACAGAGAGAGTCAATAAATAAATGTACGAGTGTCAAATACAGATAGATAATACCGTGCATGTAGGAGAAATATCAAATCGTATGTTTTATTTAAATTTTACGCACTTTTGTCCCAAAAATTATTATTCTCTAGAAGGTATATATAATTTATGTATATTGTAAACATTTCAATTATGATTATGAGTACAATTGGAAATTGGAATGGCATGCTCCTATGCCACGGGGGTGGTGAGAGAGGAGACTTTGTTGCCAACCAACCAACTCCATTGCGTGGATGCACCCTGTGTAATAAACTTGGTCGGACTTTTTAAAGATTATTTTATTTATTAAAAGTGGCCAGTTTATCATTTATATAAATTGTAAAACTAAAAAAAAAAGTATATAAAAGACTTTTATATCGTTAACATTTCAATTTGAATTAATCTTGTTTGCCATTCCGTTCATGTGGACATTATAAGATGACTTACAGAATAACCAAACCTAACTTTGCTGTAGATATCCTGCAGCCAATGCTAACTAATGACGTTTGAGAAGATTAATTTCCGGAAACTAATTAGCAGCGTCGATTAAAATATCTATATTAAAAAATTTATATATCTTCAGAAAAAAGAAATCATCCGAGTCGAATCTAGATTAATGGAGAGAATAATTTAAAGTATTGTCGTATTATATCCAAAAATTCCTTTTGTTACATTCTTATGTTATTAAGGTCTCGTAATGTAGGACCCCGTGAAGTATAGGATTGTTTACTTACAGTGAATCTGTGCTTTCTTTCATTGGACATGGAATGTTGGAATTCTTTTTTTTTTTTTTTTAAGAAAAAAACTCCATTACGATTGCTGGAAATCAGCCAGCTCTGATTGATACGAATCGTCCAACAACAACTGACAGGAGAATACAATCACTAAATTAGTCACTATACTATTACAACTGAAAATACAAAATAAAACTTTCACCAACCAATTGCTATTTCCAGTAGGAAAAAACCTCCAACGGTATGATTCTATTGTTGAACATACAACGGAACAGATTAAAAATCTGAACTCGAATAGGCCACTACTCATCGGATTAAAGCTCCAATTTGTAAATCTAGATAACAGATTTCTCATTATATCAATTTCTCCTTCGGGGAATTTTAAGGATTACAGGAACTATGAGGCAAACACCAAATAATTTTAATCTTGGACTAAGAGAAATGAAAACTTCGCCCAAACACCGAAATGTTTACAATTTAATGAGATGATTGGTCGTCATTATTATTAGTGATTGACATCCGATCTATTTCAGAAAAATAATCCAAATTTATAAAATGTCATCATAACTAAAATAGAGATAAGCAACTGTTATGAGTCGAAAACGAACTCGGTAAGAGTACACCTGGAAACTTAAAAATAAGTAATCATTATTCCTTGTTTGTCTCCAAAGTGATACCTGGTTTGAATCCAAACTTAATCGGGATGATGATTTTGAACATGTGTAATATTATTTAAAAAGAAATGCTGTACTTGTATCACTTAGAATTGTTTTTTTTTGGTTAAAAAAAATAGTATTTTGGATTTTTTTTTATTTGAAAATTTAAGAAACTGTATTGAAAATGTAAAAAGTAGGTTGAGAGGGACATTTATTAAATAAAAAATTATGAAAAAAACCAACCAAAAAATTGAACCAAGCAGAGAATTCACCTTCTAAAACTTCTTTGGAATAAACCCAAACCTAACTCTGCTACGAGTACCGTGCAGCCACAGCTAGCTAGCTAGCTAGTTGTATGGACTTCAATGAAGCAAAATAAAAAAGCTTCATAAATAAATACAGCCACAACCAACTCCTTTTCACTTACACAATTCAACTTATACGTACAGCCAATTAAAACGCAATCCACCAGACAATTGCCTTATAAATAGGCTGCTTGGCGAAAAACAGCAAATTTGTAGTGTTCAGTCTGAAAAGCAAATTCATACTACCCAAAGTACAAATAGCTATAAATCAAATCAAACATAAACTCTTTTCTTTTCTTTCTTCCTCATTTACCGATAGTACATATCATCACAGCGAAATTTGCTTCTGGAATCATCAAAAAGTCTATACCCAAATTCCCAAATTTGAATTTTCAGAACACGACTCTGTTTTTCCTTTCCTTTCTCTTCTCTTTCCTTCCAATGCATTTCTATATATCTTGTAGAATCTAACTTTCTTTCCTCTGTTATACCAAAATCCCTTGAAATTTTTTCCAGCTTCTTAAATTCCATCCGTGTTTTTTCCTTTCTTTTTCATAATGGGAAGTGACAAAATGAAGACAACTGTGAAGGAAACGACAATGGTTCGTCCTGCAGAACCAACTCCATTAAAGAGGCTGTGGAACTCGAATCTGGATCTGTTGGTGGCCAGGATTCATATCCTGACTGTCTACTTCTACAAGCCAAATGGGTCATCGAATTTCTTTGATGGGCCAGTTTTGAAACAGGCGTTGAGCAATGTTCTTGTTTCGTTTTATCCCATGGCTGGCAGATTGGGGAGGGATGAAGAAGGGAGGATTGAGATTGATTGTAATGGTGAAGGCGTGCTTTACGTCGACGCCGAAACCGATTCGAGTCTCGATGATTTCGGTGATTTTACTCCCAGTCCGGAGCTCAGGAAGCTGTTTGTTCCGGCGATTGATTACTCTGGAGACATTTCTTCGTATCCCCTTGCCATGTTCCAGGTACAGAGTAACTACAAAGTTTTTCTTATTTTCCCTCCCTTAGTTTTTACACGTAATACTATCATGGTCGAAATTATTGTTCCGACTAATTCGAATATAAGTGTAAATTGGTTTTTTTTTTTGGGGGGTGACAGAAGTCTCTCTTGCCAAATTTTGAGTTCTTTAATGTGATTTACTGTTCTTATTTTTTGGTTCTGAACATCCAGGCTGTGTGTGCTCTGTTACTGTCTGCTCTGTTTTGGTGGAAAATTTTTTTGCTAACATTGATGATGGTTTGAAATTGTGACTAAAAATTTCAGCTTTACATTCACAACGAGAAGTATTACATATTTCTTTCGAACTTCAGAAGGAACATTCTGCTATACTCATTGGAGATTTCCCTGTAGTGTATAGACGAATAAAGCAATGAAGCTTGTGTTATGAGTGTATTCATCATACACAAATTTTCTTGTACGTTATTTTAATTGACTCTCAATGTAATTTTTTCTACGTTTTGTTTTTTTTTTTTTTTTTTTTTTAAAAAAAACTTCCACTCACTTAAATGTGGAAAAGAACTCGAGGGTTTGGAACTCACCAGGCCAAGACCTCATTTTCAACAAAATCAAGATACACTAAAAACAATCTAATCAAGGACTTGGAAAATTAAGAAGATTTAATTCCTATGAGTGGACTAATATTTTATGAAAGTACTATGATGTGATTTTTGAAGGGTCAGTTGTGTTTGGATAGTGTCTCAAAATAAAAGAGTAACATTTTTTTTTTATTTTTGCAATTTTCAACACATATTTTTATACTCTCAACAGTTTTTTTCTTTTTTTTTTTGCGAAGACAAGTTATTATTTGCAAGTTCATTTCATGATTTCACTATCAACAATGACGTTTTCTTACTAGTATGTCCGTGCACCATCGTGTAACGTAATTAGCGTGCAATAATAATGGTTGCCTTAGGCCAATCTCCAAGATTTTCTCGACTTTTCCTTTGCTTAATTGCCCTAAATTTTCCCCATCTTTTTCTCAAACGATGAATTTTCGTTTTGTAACCTTTTTTAAAAAATGTTTCAATTCCTTCTTTGTTGTTTTCCAAGAAATGGGGACCTCGGATTTGTCGGGCCTAAAGAAAAGTCAAAACAGAATAATGCTTCCATAGGATTTGGAAAATTTCTTGTTATCAAGGTTGAATAGCAGCTTGTTATGCAGTCCACAAAATTAGAAATTGGGGGTGGCATTGCATTATTTGCTAGGTTTGGAAACTAGGGTTTAAATAATTCTCAGGGGCTGCTCTCTCAAATCTGAAGCCTGAAGACATTCAATATGAACGGTTTAAACACATGACTTCTTTTTAAGACGGAAAGACCACAATATTTTCAGGTTAAAGTTTCTCTTTTGTGTCTTTCTGGTATCAATGAGTTGTCAATCATCTTCTTCATTGTTTCCTGCTCAAATAAACACAAAAAAACATTCAAATAAATCCAATGACCATAATTGCATGAACAGAATATTTGGTGAATCTCTTGTCGCCAAAAAGTAGCTTTGTGATAGTTTATTATTTATATTTTCTTTTAAGGTAAAATATATTCGTGGCCTAAGCTGTTCCAAAATTTGTGGCTATATATGGTGCACCGATTACGAGGGAAAGGTTGCAAAATCGTCCCCTTACAGTTGGTTTGGCTATTTAGGGACCAGTAAATTATTTTCGAAAGTTGTCCTATTAATCGTTAAACTCTCCATTTTAAAATATAAGTCATTTTAGATGTTGTACGTAAATTAATGAGACAATCATCCAACAACTAAATTATTTGTTAAATATCTATTTTACCGCTCATTAATTACATTGAAACTATAAACAAGACTAAATGAAAAGAAATTGACATCTATTGAGGGTAAATTTGAAAAAATAATCATTAATTTGTCTAAAATTTGTAAAAGGACCTACATTTTGAAAAATCTCTCCCAACCTAAAACGACCTACAAATTGAAATGGAGGGAGTAGTCTCATAGGCGAATGGATTGAGAGGGCACTGGAAATTTATCGTACAAAACATTATTTTTCTCATATGTGTAGTTGTATAAAACGTTTTATTATGACGAAAATAACAGTAACCAAATAAATAACCGCTTACTTGTGTTAACCAGAATGGCCATAATTTTTTTTTTTTTTTTAAAAAAAAAACCAGAATGGCCATAATTAATCTGCTACCATTGCTGCTGGTAGGATAAAGGGTCACTTTCTCCTAAGTACAGAAGGTGTTATTTTCTATGGGAGGTTTCAAATAGTGAAGAACATGTACTATCTTTTTTTTCTATTTTTATTTATGACCTATAATGTATTAAAATGGCTAATAATATTCTTTTTCTAATAAATGTTGTGCATTTTGTTAAAAGGTAACCCGATTCAAATGTGGTGGAGTAGCACTTGGAACCGGTGTGCATCACAATTTATCGGATGGCCTTTCATCTCTTCACTTCATCAACACATGGTCGGACATAGCTCGCGGACTCTCCATCGCCGTCCCTCCTTTCATCGACCGGACTCTCCTCCGTGCTCGGGATCCCCCGAAACCCGTATTCGAGCACGTCGAATACCATCTCCCTCCAACACTAAAACCCGAATCCGGTGGAACCAAAGTACCAAAGTCGGGCCTGAAAACCAGTACCACTTCAATACTAAGAATCAACCCTGAACAACTCACCCGACTAAAAGCCAAATCCAACAACGAGGGCAGCACGTACGAGATTTTAGCGGCACATCTATGGCGTACCACGTGCCGGGCACGTGGACTCGACGACGATCAATCCACAAAGTTGTACGTTGCGACAGATGGAAGGTCCAGGTTAAGCCCTCCCCTGCCTCCGGGCTACTTAGGCAATGTGGTATTCACATCCACCCCGATAGCCGAATCGAGCGAGCTTCAATCCGAGCCGTTGGCGAATTCCGCGAAAAGGATACACAATGCATTGGCAAGAATGGATGACGAGTATTTGAGATCAGCTCTGGATTACCTTGAAATCCAGCCTGATTTGTCAGCATTGGTCAGGGGACCTCAATATTTTGCAAGTCCTAATCTCAACATTAATAGTTGGACCCGGTTGCCCGTTTACGATGCGGATTTCGGGTGGGGAAGACCCATCCATATGGGTCCTGCGAGCATTCTGTATGAGGGTACCATTTACATTCTCCCAAGTCCAAACAATAAAGATAGGAGCTTGTCATTAGCTGTGTGCTTAGATGCGGATCACATGCCACTCTTCCAGAAATACTTGTACGATTTCTGAATAAGATTGGTCTGGAGTCACATTGTGATATGATTCAGACTTGTAATTCTTTCTTCTTTTTTCGATGGTTGATTTCTTACATTTTGCTTGGATGATGTTCTTTCTATTCATGATGATGTGATGACTAGATAGTTGTCATTTGTCCACCCAAGTAGTGTTCAAATAGATTGTTGGTTTGCAATAATGCCAAATGGAATGTCGTTATAAGATAAAGTTTCTTCCTCAATATTATTACTCTGATAACTTATGTGTAGCAATCATATATTAATCGTGATACAATATCATTTTTCTCGTATACATATTCATTTAACCTTAGATACAAAAACCCGTGACAAGTGGATTATATATATGACTAGCTAGACTTAGTACGTGAATTAGAAGAAAATTGAAAAATTGCTGGCTGTTCTTAGAGGGAGGCTGTAAACTCTTTCAAAAATTTCGACTTTGGTTGCGTTCCATGATAAAGTGGTGGGATCATGGAAGAAAGCAATACGATTGCATTCTAAAGACGGAAGTAGGTTCGATGATATGGGGGGACCAAAAGTGGGAGTGAGTTAACATCAAATGGAGGATCCGTCCAATCTTAAAATTAAATGTGACATGAACTGGACATTTATCCCGATGTCAGGGAGAAGTATTCCCATTCCTAGGTGATATAGAATGTTGTGGTTACTCGTAATGCACCCTGTAAAATGGAAACATGTCGCTTTATCATATAATTTCGATAAAACTTGTTTTTAAATTTTTAAAAGGGTGTGGTTGATGAAACTCTTGTTCCACATCGGTGTTGGGAGTGGCTTTGTATCAATATATAAAATTTATAGGCTAATCCTCTCATTGCTAATTGGTTTTGAGATAGAACTCAATGGACTTTTATATGATATCAGAGCGGGTCAAGCCCATTGTTATAATAGGCGATCAGACAGATGCAATTGGATTAACCCATAAAAATATCGGGTGATGTTGTCCATGTCTGTTGGACCTGAGGGAGAGTGATGTAACTCTTATCACACATTGGTGTTAGGAGTGACTTTATATCAACATATAAGTTCCATGTGCTACTCCCCTCATTGCCAATTTATTTTGAGGTGGAACCCCATTGACTTATATAGTGGTTCATATCGAAACAAAAGAAAATAAGAATTTGAATAACATAAAGAAATAAAGAGAGAAATATCTAAAGGCTACATTGTGATTGATTGTCTGGATACAATATTCATATGAGTAGCTCGTTATTTATAAGAGAACTTTTTTACAACAACCTTATAAGATAAGGCTAAACTATTTTAAGTAACTATTGGAAGAAATCAATCCCCGAGATTACGAGATACTCTAGGAATTCTTGATAGCCAAACATATCTCATCATTGATGAATGTGATCAGCCTTATTTTGGAAATGACATGATCTCGATCTTGAGAGATTCTGTTAACATCCCCCCTCAAACTGAGTCGGGGCTGGAGACTCAGCTTGCTTCGAGTGTGTTGACGGCTTCTCATCTTCATGCGGCAGTGAAAAATCTTCTTGTGGTCCATTGATTCTAGCCATGTTTTGGACAAAAAAAAGGCTTGAATTTATTGTTAGATTTTGTATGATGAGTCAAAAACTCTTCTTGTATGAGAAGATAAGACTTTTGCCATAATGGAGATTTTGTGAATTGACTCAGAGGTGACTTTCCTCGTTGTCTGAAATTTGTGGATTAACTAAAGTTGATTTATGGGAAAAAAAAAAAAGAACACAAAGTCTAGGGTAGAAGACTTTGTTTTGTATTGATTGAATGATTTGCAGGTTTTTTGTGGACACTGTTGGGAGAATCAAACAAGAGTTTGGGATTAGCAGTAGAAAAAAAAAAGAGTGATTTGGGATGAATTTGGAATTGAAACATGACACAATTGTAAATATTTATGACTGAACTAATCATGATTTTATTTGTTGAAAGAAGAAAAAAAAATACGCGGAAGCATGGCACAGAAGCAGGATGAACCTGCTCTGGTACCAAGAAGAAAATAAGAATTTGAATAACATAAAGAAATAAAGAGAGAAATATCTAAAGGCTACATTGTGATTGATTGACTGGATACAATATTCATATGAGTAGCTCGTTATTTATAAGAGAACTTTTTTACAACAACCTTATAAGATAAGGCTAAACTATTTTAAGTAACTATTGGAAGAAATCAATCCCCGGGATTACGAGATACTCTAGGAATTCTTGATAGTCAAACATATCTCATCATTGATGAATGTGATCAGCCTTGTTTTGGAAATGACTTGATCTCGATCTTGAGAGATTCTGTTAACAGAAACAAAGGATCCAAATCACTCGTCATTGTCTGCTCAAGTTTAGAATGGCAAATCTTTCAAAGTTACATTTTCAAGAAATAACACCAATGTTGGTCTGGCAAATGCAACTTACAAAGCCACAATCACCAACAATTCTCGAGGCATACACGTTATTGTGGTGCCAAACACCCTATCCTTCAAGGCAAACCATGAAATGAAGTTATTTATGGAACCTTATGGATTTCTATAGTGGTTCCTATCAAAACCAATGATCTAAATTACTCGTCATTGTCTGCTCAAGTTCAGAATGACAGATCTTTCAAAGTTACATTTTCAAGAAATGTCACCAATATTGGTATGGCAAATGCAACTTACAAAGCCACAATCACCAACAATTCTCGAGGCATTGGGGTTATTGTGGTGCCAAACATCCTATCCTTCAAGGCAACCCATGAAACGAAGTTATTTGTGGTGACAGTTGCGGGTGAAGAATTGAGAGGATTTGCTTCAACTGATCTTGAATGGTCTGATGGACTTCATAACGTCAAAATCCCAATTTGTGTACGCAAACGAATAGTTTTTTAGTAATAGTAGTAACATGTCTTTTTATTTTATTGAAGCAAAAGCAAAATATTTGGTCTAAAAAAAATTTAAATGGAATAAGCAACTTAGGAAAATTTTTTATTAAGGACACGAGAAGGTCGTGTTCTTCAGTCTTATAAAAATACTTTACATTGAATTTTGAGATTTATACTATTTTTAGAATAAATCTCAAAACTCGATATTAACTTTTTTAGGGGAGCATTAGGTTTGTTTTTGGTTAGTGTTTTTTTTTTTTTTTTGTTTAACTCCGCAAAAGTAGTCTTATCTTTCACCCATGTTTGTGGTCACCCTTTGTGATTCTTAATTCCAGCGGCGACCGTGAGCCTTCGCTAAACAATTCTCTATGGTCTTGTGCTTTTACCCCCTTAATCTAAAAACTAAGAATCAACCATGAAGAAGTCAAAAACCGTTAAAGCAACGGTTGCTTGGCAAATAAGTTAGGAAACAATTAATAGTAAAATCGATGGTTGATTGAAATGAGCTTATTGCGTCCGTCGGTTTGAAATCATCAAATCAATCAATTTATTGTTTTGTTTTCTCCTCAATTCAGCCCTGCAGTTGTGTGTATTGAAGTTTTAAGTTTATCTACAATGTCTTAGAAACACATCTATAGTACTTACTTAAAGCAGCAAATACAAAGGACACATGTTAGCTCCAGAATGAATATTTTCTCTCCAAAGCTTTTCAGCTCTTTTCAATACAAATCCGAAGCAAGCAAAATGAGACACGTGGCACTCTAAAATTTCAGAAAAAATAAAGCCTTAAGTAACCCCAAAGCTTTACTTCTAATTAGGAAAATGAAGAAAACCATAAGCAGTTTAAATTAGGGATAAGGACAATTACCCTATCGAGTTATGTCCCAAAGACAATTATCCCTTCGACGTTTTATATAAGGACAAATTCCCCCCTTGACCGTTAGAAAATCAATGTCAATAGTACTATTTGGTGAAATGACAATAAAACCATGGTGGTTCTGGCAAAATCTTGGGCAGGAAAATGTAAAAGGTAAAGTTACTTATTTAACCCTCTGGCTACACGATGAAATTAAAACCTCCCCTGTCCCATTTTATCGTTCAAAATCCAGGCAATAATTTTCAAAGCTTTTTGAAACCTGACTTCACTTTGGCAATCAATTTTCTTGTGGTGATTTTTTATTTCATCTTCAATTACCATCTTAATCGGATTCATTACGGTGAGATGAAGATCATTAGGAAAACAAAGTCGACGGGCATTTGTTTTGTCCAAAAGAAGCCAGCCAAAAATGGTGAGTGTTGAGAACTCTCTTTGGTCACATGCATGGATCGTTAAGCATGAAAGATGGTGTATTTTATTTGCCTAGTAATCGTCAGATTGATCGCAAATTGTAGATGAAAACGTGAAGCCCTAATTTTCAACAATCAATCCTGAAAGTTGAGGGTTTTTTGTAAATCTTTTTTTAACGTTTAATTCCAATGATTACATGAACTTCGAATAGTATATTGATCCTGATTACGTTTCATCATATGTTGTATGTATAGAATCCATCAATTAGGGTTCTTTGATTTAGTGGAAATCCCAACATCTGGGGTTTTTTTTTTCAAACTTACAAATGGGAATTACGGTGCATAATATGATTTGCAAGATATGATCAATATTTCAGTGCTATTTTTTTGGTTCATATGCTAGACGTTTTGTTCTTTTACTGTAATCTAAATTGGGTCGGGTTTTGGATTTTTTTTTTAATTAGTTTATACTCCCATATTACATGCTGGTGGTTTGTATGAGTTTATTTTACACTACGAAGGTCGGGTTTTTCAGATAAAAAGGTGGACGCTGAAGAGTACTCTCGTGTGGTTCTCTTGTCTGATATGACTAAGGTCCTGTATAATGATCCCGGCTTATGGAAAGTGTTAGATTGTTGTATAACTGCTGAAGTGCCTGGGAGGACTGAAAAGATGCTGGTAAGTGATGATAATGTTCTTGCCGATGTATTTGAGTTGTGTCAAAATCAGAAGTGTATAAATATCTATCTTGATGATGTTAAGTTGCTTTTGGATGATCCCGAGGGTGGTAATTTAGGTGGTTCTAATTTGCATGTAAGTAAGGATTCTGGACTTTGTGAGAAGAGCCATCACTTGAATGAGAATTTTGGAAATATGACTGCTAGTGGATCTGGTTTTGATGTGTGGAATGGTGTTGATGTAGGATATTCAGACAATTATGGTGGTTTATTATTAAGTGGATTTGGTAGCTCACAGGTCACTATCAATGGTGGTTGTGAAGACCCTAATCCAGCTGTGGCCGTGAATTTTAACACAAATGGTGTAAACATTGTTGGAGCTGATGTCAATACTTTTCTAAATGTCCCTGAAGTGAAGCAGAAGCGTAAGAGGAAGAGAAGGATAACAAAGAATATTAAAGAAATCAATGATCTTAGAAAGAGTAGTCAGAGAATAAAAAATGCTGGAGGAGACACATTTGCAAATGATTATATATGTGAAAATGGTGACTTTAGTACATCTCAAAATGTTGGGTTTAGACTAACTGCAAATGGTGACAATGGAACTTGTGAAAGCTTCAGGGAAAATGCACAACTAGCTGGGGAAGATGTAACTAATGCTAATGGGGAAGAGCAAAATGATGAGAGTAGTGATGAACTATATTGTTTGAGCGATGATGATCAGGGTCTAGAAGAAGAAGATGAGATGTTAAGAAGATACACAAAGAATTCGAAAAGTGATCATGATTCAGATCATATTGGCTTGTCATTAGGTGAAACAGAAAAAGAAGAAATTAGTGATTGCAATGATTCTGATGAGGATTTTGATGATGATCCCTTCAATGGATGTGTGAATAGGTCAGAATTCAAGGTACCTGAGGGAGGCAAATTTGAAATTAGGAAAGGTATGTTATTTGCAGATGTAAATGCTTATAGGAAGGCCCTATATGAGTACTCCATATCGTGGGGATTCACTATTATCAAGTTCGTAAATGAGAAGACAAGAGTCACATCATACTGTGATGGTGAAGAATGTAACTGGAGGGCACATGCTTTTGTATGTCCTGATGGTGTTACATTTGCTGTGAAGACATGTCAACCAATTCATACATGCCAAGTTAATCCAAATCTGACCGCTTCAGTAATGTGGATTGCTGAGAAAGTCCTAGACTTAGTTAGAGCTGATCGGGTGTAAAGATTGATATTCTCAGGGATTCTTTGATAAAATTGGGGGTACACCCATCAAATAAGCAGCTCTTTAGAGCAAGAACATTGGCAATTGAGATGTTAGATGGCAATCATGGAGAGTCTTGGAAATTGCTACCTACGTACTTTGAGATAGTAAAACAAAGTATTCCGGGGACTGTGGCGAAGATAGAGTATAAAATGCAACCTGGTAAAACTATCCCTAATATTATGAGAGCATTTTTAGGGTTTAAACCTTTTGCAAATGCGGTAATGAAAGGATGTAAACCTTTTTTGGGTTTCGATGGATGTTTTCTTAAAGGTCCATATGGGGGTGTTTTACTTAGTGCTATTGGAATAGATGGAGATAATGGTTTGATACCCATTGCTTTTGCTGTGGTAGAGAGTGAGAATATTCACAGTTGGAAATTTTTCTTCAAACAATTCTCAGACTTGATGGATGGATTTCCAAGAGACAAAGAGTAGACTTTCATGACTGATAGGCAAAAGGTATTTATGGCCTTAATGCAATTCTTTTCAAATTTCAGTTGTTTTTCTTTGCCTCTGGGCGCAACTCTTTTTTTTTTTTAATCATTACAGTGTTTTTTCTTATCTCTTAATTAGTTCGTAACCATATTTTATTTTTTAATCTTAATACAGTTTTTTTCTTTTAACTAACTCAGTTTGTAAATCTTATTTTATCTTTTTATCATTTCAACTTTCTTTATTTAAATGTGTTTGTGATTGACAGGGACTAATTGATGCTGTGGATGATAAGGTTTCACATGCCATTCATAGAAACCGCAGCCATCACATTCTCTCAAAATTCCGATCTAGATTTCCAGGTTTGCTCCTTAGGAAATTGTTTTGGGTTGCTGCGAAGGCGTATACTAAGGCCGAGTTCAAAGCAGCAATGGACTACATCAAAAAAAATCAACCCGGATGCATATCAATATGTTGATGACCTTGATGAACAGACTTGGGCAAGACATGCCTTTTCAGAAAGTTTGAAGTGTGAGCATATCACAAATAATATTTCAGAGTCATTTAACAGTTGGGTTGGAGACTTGAGAGGTAAACCTGTTGTGGTGATGTATGATACAATCAGAGGAAGATTGATGTCAAAAATTCACACGAGATATGCAGAGGCTACTTTGTGGGTATATGATGTAACCCCAAGAGTTATAAAACAGCTCAAAGCAAATGCACAAGCCTCAAGAACTCTGAAATTTTGGTGTTTCCAAGACAAACTTTTCGAGGTTAGAGAAGAAAATAAGTCGTTTGTAGTCAAACTTGATGAAGGCTATTGTGATTGTAAGGAATGGAACCATACTGGAATTCCCTATAGGCATGCATGTGTGGTGATACTTAATAGAAGAGAAAAATTGGAATCATATTGCCATTCAAGTCTTTCTAAGACAAACTATTTGAGGACATACAACCAAACCATGTTACCAGTGAAAGACCAATCCTTTTGGCCAGAGTTTGCATCCCCACAATGCCTTCCTCCTTTGACAAGAAGAAGATCTGGAAGGCTAACAAATAAAAGAAAAAAGTCTGCTCATGAAGAGCCAATGAAGAGATCATCTAGGGGCAAGTGTGGAAAGTGTGGTGAATATGGACATAATACGTGAACTTGTGCTGGTGGACCTGTAAAGACTAGAAAAGGTTACAGCAACAAAAAAACTACAGGTTCAGGTTTTTTTTTTTTTTTTTTTACCATTTTAAACATAGTTTGTGATCTTAAAATTTAAGTTATTTTTTTGTTGTATTTCTGATGTGTAGAATGCAAATGGAGCTGCTGCAAGGGGTAAAACTGAAGCTGCTGCAAGGGTTGAGAATGGAGCTGGTACAAGAGGAGTTGCTAGAAATGGAGGTGCTGGATGTGATGGTGGTGGGAATGGATCTACTAGAAATGCTTTTGCTGGAATTGGAGTAACTATCAATGCTACTGGAGTTGGAATTATTGAGGCTAGAATTGGAGTAACTGGAAACTTTGCTGGTAGTGAAAGCCAACCAAATTTTCCTCTTACTCAATCAAGCCAGAAAAATGGCTCAGTTCAAAGACCTAGTGGCTCACATCATAGTACTAATCCAAGCCAAGTTGTCAATCTTGGAAGAAACAAAAGAAAACGGGCTGTCAAAAATACTCAGGTACTATATGTTAATAATTTTAATTTATGTAGTAATTTAAAATATTATTACCTAACATTTAAGTTTGTGGAAATACATTTGAAGGATCAAATGACCGACATTCAGTTTTTTAGTGAAGCTGATCAGTATGGAATAAGACAGTTATTAAATGAACCTTTTAAGCAGCTACAGAAGAAATCAAAGAAGAAACAAGATAACAATGATGGTATTGAGTTTTTGGGTGATACATTCATGTTGAATACTAAGGTAGGAGGGAAAAAACAAGTCGTGATCAACCAGCAGGTTTGTTCTGATTTTGCTTTGGTTTATTGCAGATGTATTTATCAAGAAAAATGTAAATTGTTTGCTATGTTTGTAGCTAAGACATAATTTTGATGTCTCAGGTGGTCAGTAACTCTAGGAGTGTTGAAAGGTTATTTGAGAGCATAAGGGCAGTATCATTGCTTGGAGGTGAATTGGCCGGAAGATTTGTAGTAGGTGATCCAGCAAAAAGAAAATTAAAAGTTGGAGTTTCAACATCCCAACCAGCTCAAAGTGGAAATGTGTCCATTCCTGTTGTTGCCCCCAAGATAGTAACATTTGCATCAGCAAAAATAGGTGCTGCAAAACAAGTGAACTCCTTCAATGAAGAAAGTGCACCCCGTGATTAGTCTTAATATAATTATAGTAGTTTATTATTTGGTTTATAACTGAGACACTGAATGTGCTCATGTTTTTTGTTTTGAACTACCACTGTAGCTTTTGAGACAATTTTGCAGATTGCATGGCTTAAATAATTATCTTTTTTTTTTGCCTGTGTTAGGGCAATGGTATATATTACTTTACTACATAATGTTTAACTCTCTTTTATGCGATCAAAATCAGGTTGACAATAGTGTTTTTCCAAGTTTAAGCTTTGTTCCTAATTTGAATTGCTACAAGTTTAAGTTGCCACAAGTTCAGGTGTTAGAGAGGATATTTTTAGCAATGGTGGTTTGAAGGTTTCAGATTAGAGCAGTGCAACTGCTGGTGAGGGTTCTACCAAGTATAAAGCTAAAGAAAGGCAAGGTAAGTTTTTGGTGTTGGGATTCAATGTAGTTAGCAAGGGGATCATGATAGCAGAGATCCAAACGGTGGAAGATTCAGATTGAGCAAATTTTCAATTATGACAAGCCCTTTTATACACATTTGAAATGTGCACTCGTGACATTGCCAATGTCATGTCCTTGTTTCCTTGTTTATTTACAATTGCAAACAAAATTACACATTATGGTTGTTGCATTTCACTTCCAAGGCATACGCAATATCATTGAATCAATACATCACAAAAAACTAGTGATCAAACCAAATATTACAGCCCTTATTGTACACCACAAAACAAATTAAAGAAAAAATATACATACCATGCGACTAGATTAATCCCTAACCGATACAATAAAAAAGATTGATTAACTCTTATCCAATACAATCAACAACACGAGTGCACAAAGAAATAAACATGTTGAATTTATGATAACCACTGTACGCATCATTTTATTGCAACCACAATTACTCATTCTCAACAATTCCAGCTCAGTTTCATCTTTAAATAACTGCCTCCCATCAAACTTTCTTGTGATTTTCTCCTTGTTTCGTGCGAAGTATCTCCAAATTCGATGTTTGTTGGAGCAAAGCCAATCAACAAAATTATGGCGAGGAAAATCATTATAAAGCTTACCCGGATTGTCTTGAGATTTAGAAATCTTAAATAAGGCATCCCGCATCGTCAATCCGTAATACTCAAATCACCCATAAAATCTCATCTTGTGATTACTCCATAATGACCAAAAAGAAAAACAACACTCCAGCCCCCAAAATCGACAACCTTAACAACATACTCCATATATACCTTATCGATTAATCAATTCCTTGCCGGAATTATTGTAGACGCGGATCGCTTCTTTGTCGAATTCCAATCGGGCGTTTCAATTTGGCTGACATGTGAGAAATTTAGGGAAAGAGAAGAAGAAGAAGAAGAAGAGAAAAAACTAACAAGATTTTCCATCTTCTTTTTATCCAAATCGACCCACTGAGCATCCAGGCAAGAGTAGTGGCCGCAAATGGTTGTTTTCGCCTTCAATTTTGACTCTAACAAAGAAAATGAACTCCAATCGAAGTAAGCCCCAATTGTTTAACCCTAATTTGGCTAGAGAGCATCTACGGGCAGTTGCATAAACTTGGGTTGTGGGGTTATAAATACATATAAGGGTAGCATTGTCCAAAAAAATATCGATTCAAGAAATAGGGGCTTTTTCGACTTTAAACACATTAATTTTCTTACGTTATTAGCTAATTTTCCACCGGAATAGTGTAGAAGGGCCGCTTTGTCCATTGACTGGCGGTCAGGGGGGAGTGGAGATTTGTCCTTATATAAAACGTCGGAGGGGTAATTGTCTTTGGGACATAACTCGAGGGGTAATTGTCCTTATCCCTTTAAATTAAGCAACAAACAAAATAATAATTACTCCATAATGTCAGCCACTATCATTGCGTCCAAAAAAAAACTCCCTTTTGAATAGCTTCCACAACACAATTCTTTCATATATAATCAAATCCCTAAATTTACCTCCTATCAATCACAGTGCATGTTTCAATTTTAAACAGAGAAGATTGATCTCTTTAGATTTTTTTTTATTTCATTTATTATTTCTCTTCAGTGAAAATCCCTAAAGTCCACTCTCTTCTCTCTTCCTCCCACCGGTCAATACTTCCAACACTGTCGCCACCGCTGCAGCTGCCGCCAATTTCTCCTCCCCCTCCACACCAGTGTTGTTTTGATCGGTTCTCTTCTTCCTTCGCCGACGACTCACATCACACAAATCTGTTCGAATCACTTCGTAAATTCGGACAAGATCAATAGCAAACGAAGAAGAACTACCAGAGGTGATAACTCCATGAGCGTGGACAACTGCAATTTCGAATAGCTACAATCTTAGATATGAAGAAATGAGAAATAGCAACAATCAATCGATAGCAGCCGGTGGCGAATGTTTGAAAATCAATCGATAGTAGAAGTAGATTTTAAATTCACAAGGTCATATTGATTTCCTCCTTTACAATCATTTTAATTGGAATTTGTAATTTATGGATTTAAATTTGGCCCAAAACACTGATTTTGATTAAAGATTGATGTTTTTTCTTGATTCTCTGTGTTTTGTTTGATGTCTAGAGCAGGTTCATGGTGTCTGATTGAGTCAATGGAATGTCAAATCTCTTTGAGTCTCTGAGGAGCATTCTGAATGCCTTACTTCCTTAACTTTTTTTTTTTTTTTGGCCTTAAGAGCATTGCAAATTGGAGATGATGGGTAGTTAAGTATAGGCTCTATACATTGACTTAATTTCTCAGGTACTGCATGTTGTTCTTTGCAGGATCGTAGCCAAGGCACTGGTCTATGGGGAAGCCGAAGATGGAGAAAACAGTGAAACTCTGCTCATGAGTTTATCTGGTACTTTGGAACCCTTTTTTCTGTGACGTAGGTTCCTAATCATTTGATTGTCTTAAACCAAAAATCTCATTTCCACAAAAACTTAAAAATCAAAACATGATAGAATTAAACCATTCTTAAGATGAATTGAAAATAAAACACCATTTATGCATTATTATTTTGATATTAGATTTGTGTACATTTGTTAGAGTGTTAATGGTGTTTGTGTGATAGAATGCTTCAGAAAACCTAAGAAAAAAAAGATTCCATACCAGGTGGAGTGTCAATAGCATAAGCCTGTGGTATTGGAAGCGTTAGTTGCTGTCTGCTCATCCATGCCTTTTTTCTCTTAATTTTTTTTGTTTGGTAGTTATTTTAAGTCCTTTTTTTCATGAAATTCGTTTTCAGCCTGACATAAATTATTAGGTGGTTTTGGTCTTTATTTTCTCTTGAATTGATCAAAACTTTTGTTGCTGGATTTTTTCTAATATTGGATGTCTTTGTTATTTATTTCAGAACCTTAGTTTCTTTTGGCATAATGATATTATCAAACTTCATATGAAGGGTGCATCTTATAAAGTTCTCTCAGTTTTCTTCATTAAACTATTTGAGCCCACCCTAACAACATAAAAGTAAGGTCGAAGATACACATTTTCCATTATATTGCAGGCATGACCTAGTTTTGGGTTGAAGGTCTTCAAAAGGAACTTAATGAAGGTAGAAGGATGGTTGAACAGATTAACCTTTAGGTGGGTTGCTGCAATATGGCTGAAAAATGAGAAATCATTTTCACTAGAATATGCCATTAAAAGAAGGTTTGTAATCAGAAATCTTTAGCCGGGAAAAGCTCAAATGTCAAGAAAGTGGTTTAATGGCTCTCTGATGTACCTTTTATATTTGTATTGTCATTGATTTTTTATATTTGGGTGATATATGTTATTGAGTAACAAAGAATAAAAAGGCTTAATTTCTTTTTTTATTCATGGTTATGGCAGATTAGTGCTGCTCAAGCTGTGGCTTGGGAGGCGTATTTTACTGCTATCTACGGTGAGAAAATTTGCCCCGTCTAAGGTGATTCTGAATCAATATTGGTCTTTGTATGGTGTGTGGGTATGGTGTGTGAAAAATTTTGCTTTCACCTTGGTCTTTCTATTTGTTTACGGCAACTGTGTGTCTTTTAAAATGTAAAGATTCGTTGGAATTCTGTTATTTGGAAAAAAAAAATTGTTTTGGCGTAAAAAATAATAGTAAAATTGTTCTTCAAATTTTTAACTCTTCTTTGTTTTCCACCACGATCCTTATCCGACCCAATTCGCAAACCAAATAATTGATATGAGTTGATATAATTTTGCAGGGAAAGAAAGAAGCATCCATGGCAATTGCTTTATGCACTCTCAAAAGACACAGTGAAAAAAAGGGCCAAGAAGTTTAAGAAACCCGGGACCTACTGCAAAATCTCTATCAAGGTATGCTCTATAAAAGTACGGGCTGCATCAATAAGAATTGATGGTTGTAGGTTATTTGAAATCCACTAGGTTGTACTCATCAAGTTATATCTCATGAGTATAAGACTGTTACTTCATATTGTTGTTCTTGGGGTTAAACGGCTGTCAAATTGTTTAAGATGTTTAAAATTGATTGTGTCATGTATATTGCTGACAGATTCAACTCCCTCTCAGCTCTCTTACCTACAAAACTCAATAAATCAACTGTCACAATTTTTACAGGTCTCTATCATGTTCACTGTGCTGTTAATTCTACCATACACGCACATCAATGAGGAAGTTAAGTTGATCACTTGCTAGCTTTGTTATCAAACTCAAGCTCAGAGTCAAATTGAAAGTAGTAATGAATCTCCAACGAGTCCGCTACATCTGCAAAAGCTTACAGCTCTCACAAACGGGTAGCGTCTTTTGAAGAAAGACAGTTTGAAGAAGTCATTACTTACATTTGCTTTTTTTTTTTTTGGTTAATATTACTTACATTTCCTATTTGATAGATCATATTTGACAGTGTAGTAGTGTTTTTTCACGGGTATCATGTTCCTTTGTATCAAATTTCAGATTTTTTTTGTCTTCGATTAGACTGTCAATCTCAGTGCTGTAAACATATGATATAATAAAAAAAAATCTAAAACTGCTACATACTGTAAGTTTTATTGTTTCACATAATTTTTTTTCTGTTGTCTTATTAATGTAATTGTAACCATTTGAATTGATGCCCATCGCGTTGATACAATATGTAATAATCCATCCCCTCAATCCTGAAACCTTAATATATGATTGTGTTGGATAACACTTTTACAACTAATGTGTCACGTAGTGTTAGGCATTTGACGAATGTGAAAAAATTTGAAGATATTTCAGTCAGTGCTGGATTGTGAATAGTAATGATAACAGTGTTAGGAAATTTTGGTTACGAATGATGATAATATTAGAAATTTTCTTGATTTAGTTATGAGAATGAGAAGGTTCGTGCCACATTAACAGAGGCATTAATTCTTGCCCTATGATTTGTTTTGTTTTATTTAACCGATTTAATATGAATGTAACATTAAAAGCACTTAGGCAGCTGCCCGGACCAAGCATCTAGTTTACAATTAAACAAAACAAAATTGCGCGAGCATTCAATGTCCATTTCACTTGCAATTTGGTTAGCTAACTAAATTGCACTTTCTATCATAAAAGCGGTACACTATTTTTATACAATTATAAATTTTTTACTGAAGCTCCTAGTACTTATTTTGCTCATAAATAGGGCAAAGCGAACTGACGAAATCAATACTATTTTCAACTATGTCAAACTTAAACCATATCACTTCATAGGTTTCAACTTAATATCATTTTAAGTCACTCTTTCATCTTTTTCTTTTTTCTTTCCCCGAATACATAAACTTTGTCGCACTATGTTTGTTACAGAGACTTAAAAGTTATAAAATCGAGTCAAAAATTATGTAAGGGGAAAACAAAATTAATATTCATTCACTGGATCATTTGCTACCCATCTATATTTTGCCAAGATTTTGAACAAATTTCATCAATTATATAATTTATTAGGAGCCAATTACTTTTTTCTATGCTCCCTTCATAAAATGGCGGATAAAATAATTGGAGGTAATAATTTGGTAGTATGAGATTCACTTTGATAGGGCTCCATATGCAACCTTTTCTTTTGTTTAAAAATATCTTTTTCATGTTTACATTGCAATTGTGCATTTTATTTCCTAATTACACTTATTTTTAGCATTTTGGTGCCATAATATCAAATGATGTTTAGCTGGAATTTAATAGTTATCAATTTTATAAAGATTTAGCAATACCCTCTATCAGGTAGTATTGACTAGTTATTAACAAACCAACAACGCAAAATAAAATGAAACTAGTTATTAACAAAAGGGATAGTTCATCAACATATATAGTTTTCATACCATTTTATTTATGAAATATTTGTTATAAAGTTACTCTACAAAAGTAATAAAAACTGTATTTGGATTGTACTTGAGTTGCACATGTATTGCTCGTGTATTTATGAGTTTGAAAAACTTAAAAATACTTGATTTTTTTGCTAACTGACAAACAAAAAAAATGTACTCTTCTACTTGAAACCTACATAACCGAATGACGGTCTCATAAAATTTTGTCTAAAAAATTCTATGGCAATCTATATATATGCTTATGTAATAAGCATATAAAACAATTCTTATAGCTGTATAAAAATGCATACGGCTTCCACCAATGATATCATAGCCGTTGCAAAATTCAATAGATTTCTTCCACACAAAAACACCCTCCGTTTTTTTTTTTTTTTTGAAATTCACATTTCTACTTCAAATAGGCCAATAGAACTATCAAGCTTTTTTTTTTTTTGTACATAAATGTCGAAGAATTCACGCAAACGACCCATCAGGCTCTAAATTAAAAAAGAAATACACATCAACACATATAAACTATTATAAGATACGATAAAAAATAATTCATTCCACGCTAAAAAAAATTCCTTACAAAACCCACGAGTCGATAATCACTAGGAACGATGTAAATATATTGGAAATGATCATCCATGATGATTTGTATAAACCTGTTTCATCCCATAAAAATATACACATATATATAGAAGACACATGTATATATATACATATAAATATATACAATCAGAACCGCAAGTATTAAAGATTTCGTACATCACTTAGTTCATAGTATGACGATATTACGCACTTTTATTAAGAAACACCAATCAAACGATTAATGAATTTAACAAAGTATAAAACTCAAGAAACGAATGAAACTAACATAAATAATGAACAAAACACATATCACCGATGAAAACAGAAACAATATCAACAAAACGAGTGATTTCCATGGATAATCAGCTACAACGATCACATTAAAAGGAAAATGAATGAGTTTAAAAAAATTACGAAACATCGCACCTTGTGTTGATAACGCAGATTTGTAATAGAAAGTGCTTTGAGAAGAGAGCAAATGAAGGAATCTACCGGAAAAAATGGAGCAAGTTTTGGAGGAAAAAATGAAGTAAAAAAAGAGAGAAATGGTAGATGTAGTGGTTAAAGAATTAAATGGAAAATTATAATTAAAAGTGTAATACTTAATGGAAAGTAATAATGTGTTTGAATTGATGTGATGTTGCGTCTACTTGTATAAGTATTTGAAGTGATCATGTCTGTTTATATTTTATTTAGGACGCTGTATCTAATCGTCAAAACATGCCAAAATATTCCTATATGATCGTCAAAATTACGAAACTGGTATACCATATCTAAAGTCCAAATTATAAAATCTTCGAAAACTATATCTCCATCCACAACCATTGGACATTAAAATGGTATACTTTTCAACGACAGTGTCATTAGTTTCAATCCGTCTGTAGCAGCCCATTCAGTGACCATGCCCTCCATTTTATCTTCCACGGGCAATATCAAACACATGATGATGTATCCTTGACAGTGAACCTATATCCAAAAACAAGAACACAATCAATTAGAAAATTTCATATCCCCACCGGATTAAATATTTTGAATCCAGGGGTGGTTTGCATACATATAAGTTCACAAGTTACCGGAATCAACTTGGGAACACCAAAATCGTGCAACACTAATTCCTCGTAATATACAAATCTATAATCCTTGACGTAAGTTTTATTTACCCCGGCAAATTAAGTGGATTCCACTAGGTACCATGAATCTTTTCTTTGCAAGCAAAAATTACACCATAATTCTTATCACGATGAAATTTACGTACATCAACTAACAAAATCGGTCCAAAAATAAATTTCTCTATGACTTTTGAACTATCTTGCACACAGCAACTCTTGTCGGATCAAGTTTTTTAAAAATTGCACGCATAGCATCATCATCGATCTTATGAAGGGTTATTCTTAAAATATTTCAATCACTACTAATAGTACTATGCGCAGCTTACAATGGATGAATATTAGGATTTTGAGAACATAGTTATTTGGATAATTAGTTAAGGATAACAAAGAAAATACAGTTAGAAATTAAAACCGTTCGTGGTTTCTTTAATTATTGTGTGATAAGGAACAAAGCTAAGCGTGGAAATTTGGGGGCACATGCTGAATTATTGTTGATTCTGACACTTCATGATACACGTACGAAAGATAGCCGTGTCTAAAATGATCACGAAAATAAATACAAAGAACCCATAACTAAATTTCCTAAAAACCACAATGAATTATGGAATTGAATCCCTTTGTTTTCTAACAATGACACGAAAGACTTTGCAATACATATCATTACTCATGTTACAGGAGGTGAAAGGAGACTAAATACGTACTAAATAAATTTCCACTTTGATTGTAATGTTTTATTTCAGTAATCAAATATTTTTCTGGACACAAGAAATACCACCTGGTTCTCCAAAAATTGTTGTTCTTCAATGTCTTAAAATTGTTTAGACATCAAGCTTGTTTTTCTTTCATACAAAAGACTGAATATAAAAAGAGTTTTTAATATACAAATGAGTAATGGAGTTACAAGTCTTGAATTCTCATTAAATTGAAACGTACTATAAAGACTGGAATCATATCGTCCTGTACATTATGCAAGACTAGCTGGTTATTCTTTCATTCAAAAATAATTGTCTTTTTATTTAATATATATATATAATAAAATAATACAAAAAACGAATAATTATTTTGGGACAGAAGCATACTTAAACGAGATCATTAGTTTATGATGAAGGAAGCCAAACTGTTCAAAAGGCTCTGAGATTTCTCAGAATCAAGTCGCAAGGCATGAAAGCAATGATCTTCTCCTTCGACATCAACCAGTTCCACTTCGCCTTTCCAATCACTTTTCTTCAATTCTTCAACATAATGAAGACTGTTCTCTCTCAGAGTATCCTTCTCAGCAGTACAAACAAACACCTTCTGAACTCCAATCCTAGATAAATCTGGTGCATCATCAGCAAATGGGTTGATGAATGGATTGTTAATCCCGCCTGGAGCAGAAGGATAAACCAACATCCACATCTTATTGACCAAAGTTTCTCTGTCATCATTTCCTTTCTGAGTTTTTGGATCCAGAAAGTATGGAAATGATAAAAATGCACCCAAGATTTTCACCCCACCAATTAAGTTCTCAACCCCTGTTCTCAGGGCCATATTATGCACAATATTCCCACCAGCACTATCACCCCCTAAGTAAACTTTACCAAAATCACCATAATTTATCAGCCATGGCTCTCTGTTAATATTACCTTCAATTTCAGAATCCGCAACAGAATTTGAGGCAACCCATTGAAGGGCAGCCCAGCTATCTTCGTAAACTGCGGGTAAAGGGTGTTCTGGGGCGAGCCTGTACTCGACCGAGATTGTCACCGCGTTGGCCTTGGAGATCAACAGATTGAGATAAGAATGGTGGAAAGAAGCAAAGGCTGAATCCAGGCAGAAGCCACCACCGTGGAAGTAGACTAAAATCGGAAGCTTTTCCGTGCTGGGATGGGTGATTTTCGGAAGGTAAAGTCTAGCTGAAACTTCAGATGAAACTTTGATGTCCTTTGAGGAGACACTAGTGATGGGATCATCAAGACAAGGAGGAACATATGGGGGGCTGTAGATTCTCTCCACAGTTCCATCTTTGTAAACCTTGATGAATGGAGACAGATCAGTCTCTACTTCTTTGGATTCAGAAGCCATAATGCTCAAGATTACTCAAAGAATTTTTCCAGTGGCAGTGTGTGACTCTGTGTTCTTCCGGTGTGGGATCTTTTGAGAGATGAATTTGGCAGACACTGCCTTTGCAACTTTACTTTTCTTTTTTCCCTTTCAGTTGGGAAACTTACAACTTTACTCAAAACTCAGAAGATCTGATTCAAGCATGTCGAGCCCTCATTTCTGACCATTAGTTCATTTAGATATTTTTTTATCAACTTTTGTTTTTGTTTGGTGAAGGTTAAAAAACAATTATTTGATTTAATAATTTTGATTGTACTCAATTGTCATATACACGGTACAACTGAATTCGCTTTTCTTGCAAGCCTATGTTAGTTTCAGAAATAAATTTTGGGGACAATTTATCACCAGAACCACAAAATCACAGATTTTATACAATCTTCACCAATTAATATTCAATTGGAAGATGAAATACAGATTTTTTCTATACATATTGACACATTATTAACAACAAAAGTAGCACACCATACAGACAAATAACCAAATTAAAAGATCTGCAATGTCGCTTTAGCGTCCAATTCTTATAGTATAGTTCATTGCAGCAGCCACATCCTGCAAAACCAACATAGCAACACAAAATATTGCTGAAACAATTAAGCTTCAGATGACATCAAATGATAGCGATAACATTGTTGCCTCTTAGTTATTAGCTATGTTTTCCTGCATCTAGGCAACATGTTCATCGCTTATTACTTTCTTCCAGTATAGCACACGAACTAGCTCAAACCACCACCAACAAAATGTTCTGGCAAACACTAAAATCATTTCAAAGGTACGAATCACATTAACAGGACACGAAGGAGACTTGACACCCAAATTATACAACCAAAAGATAACTGAGTATTTCTCACCTAGAGCATGCGAAGCTTTGAGGTGGCCACAAGAATCACATTACGTGAACAGTTCCCACACAATCAGCAGTCGGATTGCGATGAGGTTCAAGATAATTAGACAACATATATATGATATAAATCATCACATGGTGCCTAATCTTACTCAAGGGACAGAGATCCCCACACTATAGCACCTGATACAAGAGTCTTTCAGGGGACTGGGGCTGGGGATGAAGGGTCATGAACAAACAAGGGAGACATTACCAAATGTTGACAACAAACACCTTAACAAAATAAAAGCATTGACACTTTCTCAGATTCAATGTCCTCCAAGTTTTATACAAATAATGGTGTTCTATAAGCCTGCTGACAATTATGGCATAACTCGGATACCTAATCAATTATACCTTTTCAACAGAGATGCAAACCAACAAATGAAGCCAAGAAACTTAAAACATTCACAGGACTTTATAGTCAACAAATGAAGTTACGTTGCCTAATCTATGGCAAATTGGCAATCAACTGGACTCATGTCTAAACAAGACTGAAATGAAGCAGCGAAATTGCAACACATGTTTCATCAAAATGTCAAATGTCTGGTAAAGAAGATTGCAACACAAAGTTTTACAAGAAAAGGAAAAACGAAAATGAAAGATTCAAAGAACTAAACTTACCAGAGATCAATGATTTCTCAGTGTTAACCTCCTTTGAATAATCAAATTCGAAATACATCAGTCTGGAACCTATCATCATACAAGTTCCAATGACCATACCTCTCAGTATTGTAAACCGACCTAGGTATGTAAAAATTTGGCTTCTTGATAGTTTTGAGATTCTTCAGATTAGATGATGCAGCTAAAATATCCCGGCCAGTTATATTTGGACAACCAGATATATCCAGGTACTCAAGGTTCGGACACCCTTCAGATATCATATGAAGACCCTTGGCAGTCAATTTGGAAAATTGTAGTTCTAAATGCAGAAGATTAGGCATAAATTTTCCAATCGCAGCAGCGTCCGAGTCTCCATCTTGAGGACAGGCATTGAGATAATCATTAGGTACAGCCCCACGATGTTGGGAAGGATCCAACCAATTCATCAAATTCCTTCTGAGAATCTGGAGCTTAGGACATTGCTTGCCTATAACTGCCAGAGATTGATGAGATATTTCATAGCAGTAGCTGATATCTAGTTCCCTAAGGTTGCAACATTTAGAAGCAATCTTAGACATAATCCCATCGGAAACATGAGGAGAGCTCTTAATTGAGAGAACTTGAAGATTAGGGCATCTGCAGTTGAAAAGAAACATCATCAATCAGTTTTTAGACTCACGTTAACAGTTAAAACTACACAAGTAGCAAGACTGACCTACAAGGACCAGGAATTTGAGGCAGGAATCAAATACTCATGAAAATTTTTTTAATAGTTTAAGATTGCTATAGGACACCAAGGTCGAAACATAAAGAAAACTAGCATCTACACTCAGTAAAAAGCCAAACTTACCAACCTAATACAATAAATCAAAAAGTTCACCATCATCATTTGATAAAGCAGAGTACAAACTAAGTATACTAAGCAATTTAAACATTTCGGAATTAGCAAAAGGACAAAGATTAAGTATGTTCATCGGATTCTTGCAAATTTTAACCTTTACACCTCAAATACTCCTTTTAGCAAACAAAAAGGTTGTTTTTCAGTCAATCTACCTAACATGATGCAGGAGTTCATTTCCACATAGTATTATTTATTTTGGTTCCATAAATTTTCCAATTTGCAAAAAATAAATATAGGACGAAAACCTAAAAAAAATGATCACAAAAACTCATAATATCAAGACTAATAATATTGCAGCAAAATGAAACTCCAACAAAAAAGATAGAAAGTTCAAAGACGGGAACCTTTCAGGAACCAAACACAGAGAGCGATCAGAGCAGTGCCTGACGCGAATTTCAGTGAGGGAACCATCGCTCCAGCCAACGACGGATCGGAGCATGGAATCGATCCCGCGTTCAAACTCGGGCCTCCAATACCGGGGCAACTCAGTCAACGATTCGAACTGAGCTTCCACGTCAAAGATGGAATTGAAACACGGATCCTTGCAGGCTTCCAGCCACGATTTGCAGACGAGCATGGGTCCCCGCCACCGGTCTTCCATCGGAAGGCGGGAAAGGATGCTGATGAGGCATTCGCGGGTCAAATCGGCCCAGTCGCCGGGACTCGTTCCGGGTTCGGACCCCCCTCCTTCTTTGTCATCCATTTTGATTTTTGGGTGAATGGGAGCAAAATTCAGTTAATTATCGTTAAATTCAGTTTGTTAATATAGACGTACTCAATCTGGGCCAATTAATGAATTGCTTTTGTAAAGGCCGAATAGCTTCGGTCCAGCTTTTAAGGCCCACGTCTCATTTCCTGAAAAGCTTACCTCCAAAAGCAAAAAATTAACAAAACCTCTACCTTGACCATAGTTAGAGGGTTCGAACCTCACCATGAACATAGAGCAAGTTTAAATACTTTAGCCAGATGTTTCACCCATTAAGATGCCTACAATTCAGCAAATGGGATTAGTCACTGTTGCCGACGGTACTCTGCAAATATGCAAAAAAAAAAAAAAAATACACTCTTTTAACATGACTAATACGACTCTTATTCTGAAATCAAACACATGCAAGAAAGTAAAAATTCTTGGAGATGTCAATTTTGTTTTGTTTGAAGTTTTTAATCTTTTTTCATCATTAACATTTCTGTACTTTGTCTAATTTTGGGTTAATATTGTTAATTATCAGAAATGTATTATATTCTCAAAAGTTAAAGCAAACTTGGTTTTTGAGAATTTCTCTTCCTCTTGCCGAAGCTGATGAACTTCCCTCCAAAATGATCTCTTTTTCTAAATTAAAAAATGATCCGGAAAAAAAGGTGAAAGCAAATCCAATAATTAGAAGCAAAACCAAAAGGAAAAAATAATAAAAAAGCAAAAGCCATCAACTTAAAAGAAACACAGGTCTTTGTTCACTATTAACTCCATTAATTAAAGAAGCAAACCACCTTTTGACAAAATGAATTATACTATCCAGTTTGAATTTACATTTTTAGTATAAATTGTACGACTAAATAATGAAATTTCAAAATTGACAGTCACTTTGAGAGTATTAATTACAGAGAGATAAACCGGCCATGGAATTCAGGGATGCTGCAACCGATGATCCTTAGCCTCCGATGGTTACTTTGTTGATCAAACTGCAGGTGTTTTTTAATGTTTTCTTTTCTTCCTCCTTTTTCTTTTCTGTTGTCCTTTTTTAAAACTGATGGACAGTTAGATTTTCAGTTTACCTGATGAACCCACCTGCGATCAATTTATCCTTCTTTTTTTTTCTCCTTTTGTCAGATCATGTTAATACCGATTGGTAGTACATTTATACTCCATCCAATTATGCTTTGCTAAGAAAAATAATGGGACTGTTTTAAGTGTTTGATGCTGTGAGGGGAGGTCTAAGTCGATTCTAATTTGGTTGGGAGTTGGAAAAGGTTCTTGCTTTGGTTCTTGAGTTGTTCATTCTCCCTTTCTGCCATATGAGTCTGTCTGTTTCTTTGGGGAAAAAAAACAAGCAAAATGTCTTATTCTGACCAACTTTTGCATTGCAGTATTGCAGTAATGAACTGCAGTATTGCAGTATTGCTTTGGTTCTTGAGTTAAAGCCACTCATATGGTTTTTGTTTTTTGTTTTATTTTCCCCCCTTTTTGCACAGTGGGTTACAGAAACCCTATTGTTGAACTAGGTAGTGATTGGCTTAATCAAGTAACTAGACTCACTATGGGACATCTTGGACAAGGTCTTGGCTGGATCAATGAGAATTTCGGAAGTTCTAACATTGTTCAGGAGGAAATTCAGAGAGGTCTTGAGAAGGCGAGAGGATTGAGGATGAGATAATTACTGCAGGCATTGCCCAGACTAGAGAATATTGGAGGCTGAAGTAAGGGAAGAACTTAAATTGGGGAGAGAAATGCATTGAGGGTTAAAGCAAGCAATGCTTTTGGCAAAGTTTCATACCCAGTGGAAGTAGGGATACTGATGGAACCAGGGAGAATTCCTTTTTTGCAACAAGGGAAGGGGCTGTTGTTGGACGGAAGCATTACAGAAGAAAGACTAAGGATGCAGGCAAAAACTGAGGCTCTGGGAATTGGTGCACAGTCCTCTCATCCAAGGAGTATAACTTCCAAGGTTGAAGGCGTTACAAATTCTCATTCGGGTAGTGGCCTACAAGAGGAGAAGATTGTTATTCGGGTCAGTAAGTATTCCTCCTCTTTATTTGCTCCTGAATCTGTCTTGGTGTTGGGGCTTAATGAACCGTATATAGTAAAAACTTTGATAAAGTGTCTGAACATGTGTTTATGTTGGTACTTTGTTTGTAAGAATATCCATTTTTCTCGGTACCGTAGAATGATGTGTTGTGCAAAATACGTTAGTGTTGTATGATGTCAGGTTTCTATGGGGCATGCTATATATTGAAATTCATGCAAAGGGTGTTAAACTCTTAATGAAGGTGTATTTGTATGCATGAGTTGTGCAAAAGACAGTCCTGTACACTAGATTAAATGTTACTATGCGCTTGATAGGAATTAAGAAACATATACCCTCTTAAACTATTTGAAAATCATCCCAAAGCCATTAGAAAACTTTACTATTTTAACTTTGGATATTAGCCAAGTTTTTTGGCTTTTCTGATGAAGCAAAGAATTCTACTTTGAGTATGAAATGAAGCAATCTTGTTCTTGCTTGAGTTGTTTGGTTGAATTTGGACTCTTTGCCATTTTGTTCTTGGGTTTTAACTTTGTCTAGGATGAGTTGTCCTATTTACTGGGTAGTCCAGGTATGGAAGTAAGAGCAAGATCCATATTTGTTTTCCAATACATTTTGCTGAATACAGTTTCAAGGAGATTTCTCAGCTTTTCACAACATAGAGGGAGAGGATGAAAAGGAGGGGCTTTACAGCTAGATTCTTGCATAGAACCTAAGTATAGAACCTAATAAATTGATATTGACTTCAACTAAAAATCTGCTGAGGTGATTAGTCGTGGGCTCTAACTTGCTAATTAAAACCAACCTTAAAGTCATGCAATCAACACGTTTTATATACAGTATATGTCTTTAGCTAGTTGCTGTGCCTGTGTTTATGAAACAGGGAGGAGCTGCACCTACCTTAATCAAGGGGGAAGTGCCATGGTCAGCTCAAAGGGGGAATCTTTGTGATAAGGATCGTATTTTAAAGACTGTGAAGGGGCAAGTTTTTGGGGGCTTTTTTTAATACTCCCTCCGTCCCATAATTATTGTCCAGTTTTATTAAAATGAAAGATTTTATTTTGGGTCAAACTTAACTATATTTTACCTAAAACAACCGGATATACCCCTACATAAGTAATTGTTTAACCACTAAGATTTTATGGATAATGTTTTTTATTAAGGACAAATGTGTAACTTGATCCATAAAAAGTCAAATTGGACAATAATTTTGGGACAAAATTTTTTTGGCAAAGTGGATAATAATTATGGGACGGAGGGAGTATCTGTTTTGATTTTAATTTATTTATTTTCGTCAGGGCTGATTTAGTCATCTCATATGTGTCTGAATTTGACTTGTTTTATTCCTAGTTTGAATTTCCAGATTATAGAAGCCTCCTTCATAAAATGCATCCTCTCTGATAAATTTTGATTATTTTCCCTAAGTTTTGACAAAGAATGGGAGACTTATTAAATCACAGATAGTATATTCTGTTTGTTTGTAACATACACCAATATTGGATAATATATTTTTCGTGAGCTTGATGGATGGCTGGGCAGTTCCACCTTTTCAGATTTATTGATGCATCTTTCTCTTGATTCATATCTTAGTAATATAGGTACTGTTTACTGCAGAATCCTGAATAAGCTGACTCCAGAAAACTTTGACATGTTGAAAGGTCAACTTATATATTCTGGAATAACATCAGCAGACATTTTGAAGGTCTTGATTATTTCTTACACTTTTAAATTTAAAAACAGCTTTTCTCTTTCTTTCTGTTATTTCATTTTTCTCTCAACCTTCTTGGCATCTGAACTTTATTGAAGGTTTCTCTTCGTCTCTAAAACTTGTTCAGCTTTTAGCTTAGGACCTAATATCCTCCTTATGAATTGTAGGGAGTCACCTTATTGATATTTGACAAGGCTATCCTGGAGCCTACATTCTGCCCCATGTATGCTCAGCTGTGTTCAGATCTCAATGAGAAGTTTCCTCCATTCCCATCTGAAGAACCTGAAGGGAAACCAATTACATTTAAACGGGCTCTTTTGAACATATGCCAGGAGGCCTTTGAAAGTGCTGAGAGGTTGAGAGAAGAAGTTAGGCAAATGACTACTCCTGAGCAAGAGATGGAACGTAGAGGTAAAGAAAGGATTCTCAAGCTTCGCAATCTAGGAAACAACCGGCTCATAGGGGAGCTTCTTAAACAGAAGTTGTTTCCTGAAAAGCTTGTTCATCACATTGTTCAGGTTCATTCATTGTTTCTTGACTAAAAAGAAAAGAAAGTTTTGTTATATTTATTCTGAGATACTAATGATGTTCCATCTGGCATCTTATTAGGAGCTCTTAGGACCTGATACAGAAAGTTGTCTAGCAAAGGAGAATGTTGAGGCTATATGCCAGTTGTTTAACACCGTTGGGAAACAGTTTGATCATAACCCAAAAGCTCGCATTGCTAATGAGTTGTATCTTAACTGCTTGAAGGAACTATCAGACAACCCACAGCTTGCTCCATGCCTGAGATTTATGATTCAAGATGTTCTTGAGTTGTGAACAAATAATTGGGTCCCCAGACGTGAAGAGGTGAGATTTTGTTAGTACTTATAGTGTAAGTTGGTTTGTATTTTCTTGAGAAATTTAGAGACACCTAAGGGCTACAGCCTAACTATGATATCTTGTCCGTTTGTGTGGAGTTTCTCCCAAAGATTAAGTACGGGGTTTTCAATCCTTACTAGTTGTGATGGATGTAGAAAAGTTGTAATTTTTTGAAGTTTTTGGTTAAGATAACATCAAAGAATCTGACCAAAATTGAAAAGGATTTGAACTTGGAAATGAGTTTTAGAATTCCAGACTGTACTTCTATTTTTTATATTCTTGGTTAATAATTGCGCTTTATTCCATTTTAAATTAAAAGCTTTGGGGTGTTGGTTTTCTTTTAATTTGATTTCTTCTATTCTGCCTTGCGATGAATGTACCAGGCAGTTGTAACTTTCAAATTTACATTTTGATAATTATTTTGGATGATTTAAGTAGATCAGTAGATGATCTCAGCCATTTTTTGATAAGAAATCTAGTCTCAATTCATCCCTCTATGAGGATTAACCTCGTATAGTTTCTATCTTTGCGACCTAGAATATGGATGAGAAGTTGCACATTTTAGGTAATGTTCTGCTTTGATTCTTTCACTAAATATGTATATAACTAGTAGCAGTGCTTTTTGAAACAGGGAGACCCTGTATTCACCTTACACAGGACAGAAATGCCATGGTCAGCTTGCAGGGGGGTCTATGTGATAAGGATCGGTTTTTGAAGATTGTAAAAGGGCAAGCTTTTGGGCCTTTTAATACATCTAGTGGTTTTTAATTTTTATTGTTATTATTTTCAATTTCCACTGTGTATTACTTGCTGATTAGTAACGTCTTCTGTGTTCAAATTTAACTTGTTTTATTCCTAGCTTTGATCTCCAGGTTATAAAAAAAGGGGAAAAATAAAGGATATGTTTTGTTAATTCAGAATATTGTACACGTCATTTTGCGATTGAGTTATTTGGGATGTAGAAGCCTGCTTCATGAAATGCATGATCTTTGTTACTTTTGAGTAATTTTCTCGCAGTTTATGCTTTTGACAAAGAATGAGAAAAATCAAATCACCCACTATACTCTGTTCATAACATACCATGTTCTGATGGTTCCATATTTTGTGAGCTTGGCGGATCGCTTGGTAGTTTTAGCTTTATTCATGCTTGTTTTTTCTTAACTCTTATTTAGCATGTACTCCTTTTTGCTGAATCCTGAATGAGCGGACACCAGAGAAATTTGACCCTTGAAACATCAACTGATAGATGCTGCAATAATTTCAGCAGACATTTTGAAGGTCTTGATTCTTTCTTACAGTTTTAGTTTTAAGGAACATCTCTTCTCTTTGATTATTTTATTTTTTCTCAACTTTGTTGGCATCTGATCTTGATAGTCGTGAAGAGTTCTCTTTCTTTCACTCTTTTACTGTCCTCTCTCATTTCTGAGGCTTAAATTTGGTTGTTGATAAATAGGCTTTAGGCTTTAAGACCCTTTGCATTCTTGGCATTCTTGCCATGGTTAGCCTGTAAAGGGTCTCTTGGCATTCAACTCTTTATTGTTCTATCACTTATTCCAGGATTTCTGATACTTCAATTCGGCTGTTGAATTAATTTCGTTATTGCGTTAGAACTAATGTCCTCGTTAATTGCAGGGAGTCGTCGCCTTGATATTTGACAAGGCTGTCGTGGAGCCTGCGTTCTGCTCCATGTATGCTGAGCTGTGTTCAGATCTCAATCTGAGGTTGCCTCCATTCCCATCCGAAGAACCCCAAGGGAGACCATTTACCTTCAAGTGGGTTCTTTTGAACCATTGCCAGAAGAGGGTGCTGAGAAGTTGAGAGAAGAGGTTCGGAAAATGACTGCTCCTGAGCAACAGATGGAACGTAGAGATAAAGAAACGATTCTCAAGCTTCGCTATCTTGGAAACATCCGGCTGATAGGGGAGCTTATTAGGCGCAGGGTGGTTCCTGATAAGATTGGTCATCACATCGTTAAGGTTGTTTAGTCTTTCGCGACTAAAAGAGGAAGAGTAAGTTTCATTCTGTTGATACCGAGATACTGATGGTTTTCCCATTTGACATATTCATTGATAGGAGCTCTTAGGAACTGATGATATAAATAGTTTGTCCAGCTGAGGAAAATGTTGAGGCCATTTGCCTGTTCCTTAACTCAATTGGTGAACAGTTTGATTATGGCCAAAATGCTCGACAAGCTAATCAGGTGTACTTTGACTGCTTGAAGGAACTATCAGATGACCCTGATCAGTTTGCTCCTCAACTGAGATCTATGATTCCTCGTTGTTCTTGACATGAGGACAAATAATTGGGTTCCGAGACAGCACCGTCCTCGTTAACCCCCCGGACATGAGGAGATGAAATTCAGTCATTTAGTACTTATTATGTATAACCTCTGTTTAAAAAAAAAAAAGTCCATATTTAGTTTTAACCTTTGTTACCTGCAATTCTTGAAACTCTATATGGACTATTTTTTCAGGAAAAGAGAATATATACTTCGTGTTTGGTTTGTATCTTGTTCAGAAATTGAGATATTACTGTAATTCTGCGGTCCTAACGGCTGTAATTTGCAATGATGGCGTGTGCGTGGTGTATCCTCCCAAAGATTATGTACAAGAACTTTATGTTTTACTTACGTGTGATCTATGTAATTAAAATTTTTACTCTCTGTCATAGAAAATTTTGTTTTTAGAAGAGGAAAGAGATGAAGATACTTTACAACAGCAGCCAAATAATTAGTGTATGAAGAGAAAGTCGAGGAGCAATATAAATGGATTATTTAATGTGAAAATTTTATTTGTATTTTTCTATTCGAAAAGAATAGCTAACATTGAGTTTTATAATTTGTAATATTTTTAATATCAATCACAAAACTCAATGTGAATTATATATTTTGTTAGGCAAAGGGGTGCAATTTGTTTTTCATTGCAGCATTATAGCTAGTGGGGAGAAAAAAAATCAGATGATATGAATTCCATCCAATTGGTTAGCAATATGGTGTGTGGATATGTTGAGAGGTACATTAATTCAACTTGGACAGTCTAATAAGTCCTGATATATTTATGCTCTGATATACTCGCTCACTCTTTTCCATAATTATTGTCCAGTTTGGGTTTTTATTTTTAGTTTAAATTATACTAAAAGTAAAATTCCAAACTGGACAATAATTTTGAGACGGGGGGATTAAATGATATTCCAATAAATGTCAAACTTAAAAACTACAAATTCAATTGATCTAAACAAAAAGTACCACCGTTTGATATTACAATAAATGTCAAACGTGAAAACTACAAATTCAATTGATCTAAACAGAAAATACCACCGTGTAGTGCCAATTACAAGAACACAAGAAATAATAACTACTGAGCAAAATTTATTGTGGAATATACAATCGAAACACATTTAGTGGGAGGAGATTTCTCTTCAGATATCAGAATACATTCCGTGCTTGAATGCATATCCCCATTGACAATTTGACAACATGGATGATGATACTACTAATATTAACCATAAATCAACTGTGATGTTCCGCTTGATTGAAATCCTCGTTGGAAGGATCTTGGTGGATGGATTCGATGTCCAAAATCATTACTCTATATAATTTAAATTTGGATTGGATAGATTTTTGTCCGAATGCAGAATTCTCTTAATAAATATTAGTATTATTCCCGCACGTTGTACGGTGATATAATATATTATATATTAATTTAATAATAAAAAATATAATATTTCGGTTTGGCTAATAATTGAATACAGTCTTTGGTTTATTTCACTTTGCATCTCGGTTTGACTATTAAGGGAACAAAATCGGATGATGACATTATTATATAATAAATAAAATTAAATATGAAAATAATGTAACATATGAAATAGAAAGAACTTATATTGTCAAATAAATAGAGTATAGAATTTGTAAGTCTTTTTAATACTAAATTAAATTATTAGGGTTATTACATAATTATAAAAAGTATAAATAATAATTAAGAAACCCTAGCCTACCTATTTTTTTTCCACAGCCGCCCACCCTTTTTTTTTCTCTTCTATGCTTCAGTTCTCACTTCTCAGCCACCCCGCGGCCCCCTTCTTTTTTTCCCCCTCTATTTTCATTCTTTTTCTCCCTTTCCTTCCTACCATATATTTTTTTTGAGGGATTCTCCATCTTCTTTCTATTCCTATTTTTGAGGAATTTTTCCGATTATTTATCGCAAAGAAATGACTCCCCTCTAATCTGGTTGATTTGTTGTATCGGATATGATGATCAAGGTTTTCTTTAGGGATGAGGAGTGGTTTCTTCCTTTTGAGAGCCAGTATGAAAGATGATGATGCAATATTCCTTCTTCTACTTAGTTGAAAATGCTAGTGTTGTTGAAAAAAATGAGTTCTGCCTGATTGATTTAGTCAGTCAGTTGCCGGATATATTTTACCGTTAATTTTGTACGGTCAATTTTAATTAAAATTGGTCCAAGTGAAAGTTAATTTAATAAATTTTACCATTTTACTTTGGAAAATACATATATTAAAAATTCAGTAAATATAGTTACCAATAAAAAGATGACACGTGTATTAAAACAATTATCAACAAATGAAAAGATGACATGTGTACTTGAAAATTATTGATGATCTAATTAATTGACATATGTCTTTTGAAAAAAATTCCCCTCATATATAGTAAGATTTGAATTGTTATTACATGTCATTTGAACCCGGATCCTAATTAGTTAAACTGAAGACTAAAAAGAAGAAACCTGTTCTTCACGGTGAAGACCGACTAATGAACGTGGAAAGGTCTTTCTCCACGACACTGACATGAAAAGACTTCGATTTGTTGAAAAAGTTTGGCCCGTTGAAAATAAATACTCGTAGCTTGTCTTAAACGTTGACGGAAAAAAAGTGAAACAATTAGTACCCCACTGCAGCTTTATGACAAAAACTAGGGTAAGGTTTTTGGTATTATCCCATCTTCTATTATTATCTAATTTACATTTTAAGTTTTAGTATAATTTAAACTAGAAATGAAAATCAAAATTAGACAATAATTTCAAGACGAAGAAAGTATAGTAATTCAAATAACTTCTTTTTTTTTTTTTTTTTAAGTTTTTCAAGAGTCAAAAAGTTCGTAGCTATCATCAACGAAAAGTGGCAAACGTAATCCGGTTAATTGTTGAAATAAATTCTTCTTGATCTAAAGGGAAGAAAACTAATCATGGTTTTCAAACTGAGAGCTCAGTTCTTATTTTATTTAACCAGGACAAGATATTTTTTCCAAGGCTCAAATCGAAAAGACTAAAGGAATGAACATCCACAATGCATGAATTCCACGGCAAAGACATGTAAAGTCATTGATGTAACAAGAACAAGAGAGACTTTGGACTTATTAAAAAGACTCTTCCAAGGAACACCCCAAGCTGTTGGGACCATATTTTATACTACTAAACATTTTATTAGTGACCTTTCTCATTAACTATAACCGAATAATAATCTACTCCCTCCGTCCCATAATTATTGATCAGTTTGAATTTTTATTTCTAATTCAAAAATTGTGCTAAAAATAAAATTTCAATCTGGACAATAATTTTAAGATAAAGGGAGTATTTTTTTTTTTCCCGTTTTGGGACCGCTCAGGACAATCAACTTCAATATGCACTATTTATATGCAACTTAATTATTTTTTGCTCGACCCATCTGAAATCTGGTCCAAGTGTTATCATTAATGCAAAGACAAAACAAAGTATATACAGTTCAATGTATATAATATATAGCAACGTTTGTGACAACTTCCTAAATCACCATTGAGATAAAGAAAAAGAAAAACAAGGCCAGAATTTCTCAGAATGAAGTCCTTGATTTTCCCAATTTCATACATGTTCCTTGGTTTCTTATCAACTTGTTTAGGAAGAACTGCCATCACTAATATCACAACTGATCAGATTGCTCTCTTGGCCATCAAAAACCACATTATTACATCTGACCCTCATCACCAAATTCTCTTCAGAAATTGGTCTTTGAACGAGAATCCTTCTGCATCATCAGTTTGTAACTGGAGTGGAGTCGCTTGTGGCTCACGTCATCATAGAGTCACCGCCTTGAATATTTCATACATGGGTCTTTCTAGTACCATACCTCCGCAACTTGGAAATCTCTCTTTTCTTGTTTCACTTGATATCTCCGGTAATGATTTCCACGGAGAAATCCCAGAGGAATTGTCCCGTCTTCGACGATTAAAAGTTCTGAATTTCCTCATCAACAATCTCAGCGGTCAAATACCATCATGGATTGGCTCCTTACATGAACTAAGGTATTTAGGTCTCATGAATAATAGCTTCACTGGTATTATCCCACCTTCTATCTCTAACCTTTCCAATCTAGAGCAATTAACTTTGGCAGGGAATTCTCTTCAAGGAAATATCCCTAAAGGTATAGGGAATCTTGTTAATTTGAGGGAACTAGATCTTGAGGAGAATAGAATTTCGGGTCCTATTCCTCATGAAATATTCAACATTTCCACACTTGAAGTTTTTGCTTTGACAAATAACAAACTGTCAGGAAATCTCCCAATGTCAATGTGCAACCGTCTTAAGAACCTCTACTGGCTGAATCTATCATGGAATAGATTAAATGGTAACATACCATCTAATTTATCCCAGTGTTCGGAACTTCAAATGTTGTCTTTGTCTGTCAACCAATTTGGTGGATACATACCAAAAGAGATTGGAAGCTTGAACGCACTTCAACAACTTTATCTTAATTCTAACAATCTGGAAGGTACGCACAATGTCTTATCTTTCTTGTTCTTTTACTTAGAAAATACTTGTGGTGGTTATTTAAAAGGAAAATTCTATAGTACTATCGACTAAATATTTCAATCTCTTTTTTTTTTTTTGGAAATAGATTCACATTGTGATGTGGACTGTTTTTTTTTTTTTTTTTGCAAAAAAAAAAAAAAACCTTACAAATCCCTAGTTTGAAATGAATCCGAGTCAAATTCTAAAAACAACAATATCCTAACCACTACACGGTTATTCAATTTTTAGTTGTGAACTTTTATAGTTTTCAAGAAAATAAAGTAATTATGATAATTATATTTGTAGATAACTATCATGAAATTTTTTTTCCATAAATTGAATTTTGACAGGTGTGATACCAGAGGAGTTTGGCGATCTTAGCAATCTTGCAATGCTCACACTAGATAACAATAGCTTAAGTGGTTCCATTCCAATTCGAATTTTCAACATTTCGACCATAAATATGATATCCCTACCGCTCAACAACTTATCCGGAAACCTTCCATCACATATATGTGGCAAACTCTTCAACCTAGAATACCTTTATCTTCAATCAAACAACCTTCATGGTGTTGTACCCGAATCGATTTCAAATTGTTCCAACCTCATAGAAGTTGACCTAAGTGAAAATAAATTTGTGGGTGGCATTCCCAACACCCTTGGAAACCTTAGACTTCTTGAGTGGCTGGATTTAGGCTCCAACTACCTAACAAGCAACTCTCAACCTTTGAAGCTTGAATTTATGGATTCCCTAACCAATTGCAAGTTCTTGAGAATGTTATCCGTGGGTGACAATCTGCTTGATGGTTATCTCCCCAAGTCAGTTGGGAATCTTTCGAGTTTTCTCGAAAACTTTTATGTAGAAATTAACAGAATTAAGGGAAAAATTCCAGAAGAAATGGGTAATTTAAGTAGGTTAACCATGTTAAGTCTTGAAAAAAATCGCTTAACGGGTTCAATTCCAGAAACATTTAAAGGTTTGCAGAAACTACAAGAGTTATATGCAAATGATAATGAATTAGATAGGGCCATGTTTGAAAAACTATGCGAGTTGCCAAAATTGGCACTCATATATCTAAGTGGAAATAAGATTTTGGAGCCAATACCAGAATGCTTAGGCAATGTTACTTCTTTGAGATATCTCCACTTAGGTTCAAACAAAATAAATTCCATCATCCCTCCAAACTTGTTAAACCTCAAAGACCTCTTGGAACTTAACCTCTCCAGAAACCTTTTGAGCGGCTCCTTACCTCCCGAAGTAGGGAATTTGAAGGCTTCAGTGCGGCTAGATTTTTCAAACAATGATCTTTCACTTGGCATTCCCAACACAATTGGAGGTTTGCAAAACTTGGAGTACCTATCACTAGCATTCAATGGGTTGCAAGGTACAATTCCAGAGTCTATGGGTAAGATGATAGGTTTGAACTTATTGGACTTGTCACACAATAATCTCTCCGGCACCATCCCAATGACATTGGAAAAGCTATCCTATCTTGTGTATTTCAATGTTTCTTACAATAATTTGAGTGGTGAAATTCCTTTGGATGGTCCATTTCAAAAATTAACAAGTGAATCATTCATGTCCAACAAAGCTCTTTGCGGAGCTCAAAGGTTCCATGTCCCTCCATGCCAAAGAACTTCACCCCATAAAACGAGAGGCCACAGGATGATGAAGGTTTTATTTGTTTTGCTTGGGTTGGCTTTTGTTGTGGGTGTCATTGCCTTCGTATGTGTTTACATTCGATTTGTGAGAAAAGGTAAAGTTCTAAGAATGTCTGATTCGGGATTACTTGCATCAAAAGAAAGGTTTAGTTATTATCAATTAGCTCGTGCAACTGATGGATTTCATGAAAGGAATCTATTAGGAAAAGGAAGTTTTGGATCTGTTTACAAAGGTGTTATTGATGAAGGGAGGGTTGTTGCTATTAAGGTGTTCAATCTAGAAATACAAGGAGCATTCAAAAGTTTTGACACAGAATGTGAAGTACTGCGTAATCTTCGACACATAAACCTCACAAAAGTTATCAGTAATTGCTCAGCCCCAGATTTCAAGGCATTAATACTTGAATTCATGCCTAATGGTAGTCTTGAGAAGTGGTTGTACTCTCATGAGTATTTTCTAAATATCATACAACGGTTAGACATAATGATTGATGTAAGTGTGGCCGTGGAATATTTACACAATGGATATTTGACGCCAGTGGTTCACTGTGATTTGAAACCTAGCAATGTATTATTGGACCAGGACATGGTTGCACATGTAAGTGATTTTGGTATTTCAAAATTTATGAGCCACGAGGATAGCATCACTTACACCCAAACAATTGCTACATTTGGTTACATCGCACCAGGTAAAACAATTTAATTGTTACTCAAAAAGTTAATTTACGATCTTGTTATTCAAAATAAAATTGTAAAGAAAATATATTTTTATGTTAATTAATTAATCCATAGGTTAATTATCGTGTGCAGAGTATGGACTTGAAGGACTAATATCTCCAAAATGTGATGTGTATAGCTTTGGGATAATGTTAATGGAAGTTTTTACCGGAAAAAAGCCAAATGATGATGCGTTTGATGGAAAATTCAACTTGAGGACTTGGGTGAATGATTCAATGTCCTGTGGATTTGCTGCAGTGGTAGATACTAATATCCTAAGTGCAGATGAAGTGAATTTCACTCAGAAGATGCAATGTATATACTCCATTATGGAACTGGCCCTAAATTGTACTCATGATTCTCCAAGAGAAAGAAGCAACATAAAAGATGTTGTTGTTGCACTTAAAAAAATTAAACTTCAAATTCTCATGCACCATCCATGAGGAAAAGGTATACTTCTATCTTTTTCGCCTACGTATGGTTTCAATGCGAAGGTCTTTGCTTCAAATCTGTTGCTGTATTTTTGTTTCATTCTTACTATTTGTTTAGCTATTTCAGAAATTGCTGGAAATGATGTCATATTATTTATCATTTTTTTTTGTAAATTTCTATTTTTTAAAATTTCATGTCTTTCGTTGAAAATATCCATCAACAACTCGCACGCATGAAAAAGAATCTGAAAGATCAAAAATTACAATTAATTACAAACCTCATACAATTGTCAACAAAAAAAAAAAAAACATTACAAACCTCATACATATACATGTATAAGGATATATCAAATCCTTTTCAAAAAAATGATACTCTCTCCGTCCCAAAAAAATAGTCCACTTTGAGTTTTAGAATTTGTACGTACTAAAAACAGTACAAAAATAAAAACTCAATGTGGACTATTTTTTGGGGACGGAAGTAGTATATCAGATAAAAAGACGGTTGTATGTTAATCTGTTTATTTATTGTATCGCATTAGAACCTCATACATATAGTAGAGTATTTGAAAAATAAAATAAAATTACAAACCTCATACATATACATATAATGATTTATGCTACATAAAGATGAATTTTTTTGTGTGTTTGTTAAGATTTTCGGTACATAGCATTTTTAATCTTTTTTCTTCCTTTAACATCCATATTTTTACACTCGATTTTTTTTCACATTTTTAAATTCTTTAACAATCCTTATTTATTAAATTTTAGAATTTAGATTCACCCTAAAATTCATCTTATTCATTTCCACATTTGTATGTAATTCCCAGATGGCCAAAAATTCCTTAAACACACTTTTTTTTTTTTCTCTCTTTTCTTGAAAAACTTCCCTCCAAGAAAATGTAATTAGAAAAGCAGAACGAAAAGGAAACGAAGAAAAAGGCGATCAAGAAGCAAAACAGAGAGATGAAACCGCCCACACGGATTCAGGTCCTCCGTGGCCGATCAGCCGCCGCCGGTCCCTCCAGTTTACTGACCATGTTTCAAACCCGCGGCAGAAAAAATATCCCTGAACCCAAAAACATGTGAAAAATGGATTTCTGTCACTATTTAACGGTTAAAATTAACAGAATAATCTGAAATGGATTAAAACTTTAGTAAGGTAACCTGTGTTACAAATAAATTTAATTAATGACCTAAAGTGGAAATATATTAAAAGTTGATGACTTGTTTTGAAGTTCACTTTTATAATTATTTGGAGTTATAGTTTTGAATGCTAAGTGCCTAATTTACCCGAAAAGAATACCAAACAAAATGTTCAAAGCACACCATCAATGATTCGGCCTATTTTTATTTATCTTTTTATAAAATTTGTATCATTTGTTATTGTAAATATGTGCTTACCGTTTTTTTGAAAGGTATTCCTCCAGTATGAAATAAAGAGTAAAAGCAAACTCCAATAATTAGAAGCAAAAGAGGAAAAAAAAAAAAAAGAAAAGGAAAAAGCCACCAAAGTCTGCGCACTCAAAAAAAGAAAAACACTGAACTAGTAAACTACTAAAGTATCACAGAGTACTGAGAGATGATGAATCCGGCTATGGCATTCCAGTACACCACGGCCGATGAACCACCGCCTCCACCACCTCCGCCGCCGTACTGGAACGGTCAGCACCATCAGTCACTGCCACAGTCAAGTTACAGTTGCTTTGCTGGACAACCCTCTGGAGGTGCTTCCTACTGTTAGTTTCTTTTGTGTCCCTCTTCCTTTTTTTCTTTTGTTGGATTTTTTTTAACTTGATCAACTTCTCTGCAAGTATTGCTTCTTGCTTTTCAAGACGAGGACCTTTGTTTATTTGTTTTTTTTTATGAAATTTATGATGGTTTTCTGGGTCACAAAGAAATATGTGCTTAAGATTAAAGATGGTCGCTGGATGATTAGCAGTTATATTTATCCTTCAATTCTAGTTTGGTTAAGTTGATGGTGTTTCAATGCAGGGTCAAAGTTATGTTACTGTTTCCGTGTTTGATGCTGCCGATGAAGGTCTATGTTGATTTTTTTTTTTTTTTTTTTTTGGTACTAAGGTCTCTGTTGATTTTGATATGGGAGTAGGAAACTAAGGTTATAGCTTTGATTCTTGCTCTCTTCTTTCTCCCTTCCTGCAATTTGAGTGAGTTTCTTTTGGGGAAACAAAAGGAGGAGGGAGACTTGATTTTGCTGACCTTTATTATTGCAGTATTGCTTTTGCTGGAAGTACATAAATTAAGCTTCTAATATGTTTTTGTTTCTTTACGACAGCGGATTACAGAATCCCCAGCTTTGGACTGGGCGTTGATTACATAAGTCAAGGAATGGGGCACACCAGTGGATATCGTGGACAAGGACATAGCTGGATCAATGAGAATTTTCAAATTTCAAAAATTGTTCGGGAGGAAATTCAGAGAGCTATTGAGAAGGAGAGGATCAGGGATGAGATAATTGCTGGCGAGATTGCCCGTAGAAGAATATTGGAGGCTGAAGTAAGGGAAGAACTTAGAATGGAGAGAGAACTGGCATTGAGAGTTAAAGAAGGGAGTACAACGGACAAAGTTCCATATCCAGTGGATACGGGGATACCCTTGGCACCGAGGGGAAATCCCTTCCTGCAAGAAGCTAAGGGACTTACACTGGAAGAAAGAATAGCAATGTATGTCGAAGAAAGATTAAGGATGCGAGCAAGGCTTGAGGCTCAGGGATTTGATGCTGTACCATTTCAGCCGATCAGGACCATTAACCCCAAGGTTGAAGCGGCTGTATCTTCTCTTTCAGAAAGTGGCCGACAGAAAGAGAAAATTGTTTTTCTGGTCAGTGTGTATTTCTCTTTTGTACCTCTGAATCTATTTTGGTTGTAGGGCTATATTGACTGTGTTGTATGTAATTATTAGAGAAGTCTCTGAGCATGTGTTTCTTGTTAGTATTGTTTTTTTTTAATCGATGCAACTCCCTTCCTTTTGTTGCTGTAACGCTTGTGGTTTCATTTGAAGAATACATTTGGTTAGGTTTTATGCGTCTGTGTACATGTATTGGCTACAGGATTTCTCTATGCGGTGTGCTAAATATCGAAATTTGAGGAGAAGATGTTGAATTTTGGAAAATCTTAATGAGATCATACTTAAATGCACGAATAATGCAAAAGAGGCATTAGGATCTTGTGTATTAGATTGCATGTTATTATGCTCTTGACAAATTTTATTAGAAATACAGGCCCCACTAACTTGGATGGTATTGTCGTTCTTAACTTTCTGGTGTAAGAATGAACTCTCTGGTTTGAGTATGAAATTTGTAAGCAATATTTATCTTCCTTGAGTTGTTTGGTTGAATTTAGGCTCTTCACTATCTGTTCTTGGACTTCAAATCTCTGGGATGAATCTCGAAGTCGTAGCCGTTGGCTTTCTATACACCTTTGGAAGTAAGAACAAACTCCAATGTTGCTTTCCAATATATATATATATATATATATATATATATATATCTTTTTTGCTGAATTCAACTTCAGGTGTATACTCAACATTCCACCAAAACATCTGGGGGGTTGGGTGGATGGGTGGGTGAAGGAAATGTAGGGGCCTTAGAGAGTTTATATATCCCAATAAATTGACTATGACTTCTACTTGGTACAAATTAACTGGGTTCACACCTTCAATGCATCCTTATTTGGTATGTTCCTCAGCGTTTGGTAATTTTTCAGGTTAGTTTGTGTTCATGGTTTTCATTATTTTCCTTGTGTGATATTGTGAAGCAGCCACGAGTCCAAATAGTTTTTCGCTGGGAGCTTTTTGTTTCTTTGAATCTGTAAACACCTTTGCCTATGAGTTTGTAATATACTTTACGAGGCGATCGTTTCCTTCCATTTTTTTCCCCTCTTTTGTTGATTTTTGTTTTCATTTGTTTGTATGAACCTGGATACTCTCAGTCATTGGAGTTGACTTTTTATCCTATGAGGTAAAAAAGTTTTTCGAATGAATGATGGAAAACAGTTTTATGCAATCAAATACATGAGACCAGTTGAATACTATAATATCTTGAAATTCGAAGCAGTTTTTGAACATCTGACCTGCAGGTTATATTCATAAATCATAAGTATGCTGATAGCATAGAGTAATGTACATATAGTGGTTCCAACAGTAGCTTAACACAGTTTTACTTTTTCTTCTCAACTTACATAGAAAACATAGATAGATTTATGTTTGATTTGAAGCCTCTTTTTTATTTCTTACTGTTGGGTGGGTTTTCTTTCGTTCCATTGGGACTAGAGATTTGGCGTTGAAAATATAGAAGTCACACCTTGATCATAATAGTTTTGACTTTTTCCTTCCAAGTTTATCTGGTTTACACTTCATCAAGAAAGCCTGTCCTGAATACGATGATGCAGTTAAGTGTCATTAAGATTGAAATCTTGAGGGGTGTCTGATGGAAAGAAAGGAGTGATTCTTGTTCTCTGGGTTCGGAGTAATGGATTCTACTTGCAATAGCTTGGTAATGTCCAGTGTTTTTGTAGTTTAATTGTGAATTTCCCCTTACTGATTACAGTATGGCTTTGGATTGTAAATAGCAGTCATTTTTCTGTTAGATAGAATGAAATTGTCCTTTTGAGGATTGATCTAATTAGGTGATCCCCTTCATACTCTGCCTGAGTTACTCTATCATCCACATGGACATTATCAAAACAAGGAATTATAGTGAGGGTGTGCTTTTGTCACAGAAGGTCTTGTCTGACTGTATTCTGAGTAGTGAAAGTTCCTGCATCTGTCTTTAGTTGAGGATCATGTAGTTTATTGTATGTAGGTATGTTCAGAAGGTATATTTTGAACCAACTGTAAATACCAACTCATGACTTTACCCATAAGGCAATTGACTGACAAATAAAAGATCTCAACTATGCAACATTATGAGAATCTCCTGTGCATCGTGGTGATACATGTACGATTTTAGATGATGTCATCTCATCAGGTCATGATTGTCTCTGGCGCTTTTGTTAAGGATCCTAGGCTTGATTTATCTAGGCCATTTTAAAAAGCTAATGATGGAAATCAGTTCTGAAACCAGTTCTATCGAGTCTCATTGCATCCTTGAACTGTGTTATCTAATGATGGAATTTCAGGAGTCAAAACTGTACAAGAAATGCATCTCTGTGTTAAAGTACAATCTCTGTTAGAGCTGTGTCAGCACCGAGCTTTAATGCTTAGAAACTGGAATAACTTTTCACAGATGTCCTGCTGGCTGAGAAACTGGAATTATGCTTAGAAACTGGAATAACTTTTCTGTGATTCGTGAACACAATTCATGTAATCCGGAATCGAAATACGGCCGACTGAACAAACCATTCGTTCTTGTATATATTATATATTGCCTCCAGTACCTTTTTATGATTGTCTGTTTTTAATTTGCAGCACAAATCTATCTATCTATTTGTTTAGAGAGGTATATCTGTTTAATTATGAGATGCGCTTAATCTTTTTATATAGGTTAAACCTGGTGCCAATCCTTCTGTAGCTAAGAGCAAAGCCGTATCTCCATCAGAAGAGAGTGCAAATCTTCTTCTCAGAGTTGGAAATAGGAAAGGGAATGGATCGTGGAGTTGTGAGATTTGTGGAGTTAGTACCACTAGTGAGCGTGTCTTAAACGAACACATCCAAGGAAAGAAACACAAAGCTGCATTGCAGGGAAAGAGGAATGGCTGTTACATCGGGCTTGGTGTTCTACCGAATAATAATCTGAAATCCATGATAGAAGTTACTCCTGTTTTGAACCCGGCACAAGAGCTGAAATCAGGTGGAGAAGTGCCACAAATTGGCCAAAGTGAGCCTTCATCATTGCATAATGTTTCGTCAAAATGTTTGGATGAAAATAGCGTGTCAGTTATGGCAAAGAACAGGAAACTGAAGGAGAAAATACCACAGAAAGCCCCCAATAAGCAAAAGGAGAAGGATAACTTTATGTTTTGGTGTGCTATGTGCCAGGTAGGAGCCGACCATGAAAAAGTGATGGAAGAGCATAGGAATAGTAAGAAGCATGCGAAAGCGCTTCAAAAGGCTGGTGATAATGATCAAGCTATATTAATCCCTCATATTATAGGTAGTGTGGGCAAAAATGGTTCTAAAGAAGCTACCGAAGGAGATAATCAAGCTTTTAATAATGTTAATTGTACTACCAGAGAGGATCATGTGGAAAGTAAGGACTTAGATGCCAGTGAGAAAGTCAAGCAGGAAATCGAAACTGAACATTTTGGTGAAGATCCAACCTTGGGCTTCAGGGAAACTAGTGTAAGTTTAAATACATCATGGATGGCACCTTTTGTTTTTGTTTTTGTTTCTTTTTTGGTATTGTCATATTTATGTGCAAAGGAATGATTGGGGATTCAACTTGCTGGAATCTGTTTGATATAAAGTGTTCTATGGAAGTGGAACTGGGAAGTGCTGTTGTCATCCTTCTTGTATCTGAGGACTTCACCTTTCTCTTAATAGATACAAAATCAGTCCCAAAGTCAATGCCCTGAACCAGATAATTGTTACTGGCGCTCCTGGCCTTCACGAGTCTCTCTAGCCACGGAGGAGAACTCCTGGGAGATGATTCACAAGAATAGGCGATATGCTGGACAACGGGATGTATATCATTATGATCAGCTGCAGGAACAGTTGAATGCACAGTTTGCAAGACCTCAAATATCCCGTGACCAAGGGGTAAATTTCATGTTATGGTGGCAATTTAAGATATGTATTTTTGTTCCTTTTTTTTTTCTGTGTGCTTCTGTTGTGATTGCATTGCCTTTAATTTGTTTTCGTGGTACCACAAATTATGAGCCAATCTCACTGCTGACTTTTGGTCTTTTAAACTTTTTTTTGGGTTGATAGTGTGTGTGGATCGAGCAAGATGGCAACACATGATCCATATAGCTAACCCCACACTCTGGAATAAAGGCTTGTTTTAGTTTAAAACTGATGTCGCCTCTGATAGCAGTTTGAAATGATTAATCTTGTGAAGGAGTTGCACATTTCAAATCTAAATTCTACTTTTGATGTTCTATTTTAAGGGTTGGGCTTATTTTATGCTGTTGAAATGAAATCTTTGGGTTGTTACTATTTTCTTGATTGCTTTTTCTTCTCCTGTGCTATGAATTTACCAGATACATGTAACCTTGAACTTAACATCTTGAGAATGACTTTTTTTATTCCAGCAGATGATTTCGAGCAACTTTTTTTGTTTTGTTTTGTTCCTTTTTTGTTTGTTTTTTCTTTTTTTTTCCTCTTTTAAGGGTAAGAAAATTAGTCATTATCTCCAAAAGCTCTTTAGACTATTGACAGTTGTCAGCTAAATTTCTCACGGCTATGTTGGAGATAACTTAAAAAGATAAACTGCTTTTTAATCATTATCGATTCTCATTAATTGTTCCACTTCACAAAAATTTGTTATGTGAAGATCGGTACAAGGGAATGCATCTCTTTGTTGCTTTAGAATGAACTTGTCAAGCTATGTGTTGGCTTCGCTTGATTTGAAACCTTATTTATGCCAAAAGGCATCTCTATAGTGGCTCTGGCATTTATGCTCAACTATTAGATTTCTAGCTGCAGTGATCATATATAGTGCTTAGAAGCTAGAATAATTTCCACCGAGGTCCGGCTGGCTGAGTCTCTGATTAGTTAACTACATTTTGATTTTCCCTTATAACCTTTCGTAAATGTTTGTGCTTGTAGTCCAAATGCCAAGTATTTTTTACATACAAATCAGGCCTACAAACAGCAAATTGTAACATTCTTTGATTATTATACTTATCTTTATTATGTATCCTGCAAGCAGTGGCTAGACTTTATTCTGGTTTCCTTTTGCTGGCATAGAGTTAAATCTTTTTTCCGCTCCTTTTCCTTTTTTAGGGGGAATAAATAGTTATAGCTATCTAATTATGGATTCAGGTCAAACCTGGTGTTGATGTTTCTCGAACAAAGAGTAAAGTTGTTCCTCCTGCAGAAGAGAGTGTAAATCAGCTCCTCAGCGTTGGTAATTCAGAAGGGAATGAAGTGTGGAGCTGTAAGATTTGTGGAGTGAGTACCACTAGTGATCGTGTCTTAATTGAACACATCCAAGGAAAGAAACACAAAGCTGCGTTGGATGGAAAGAAGAAAGGCTTTAATATTAGGCTTGGTGTTCTATCCAACAATGATCTGATGCCCGTCATGGAAGTTAGTCACGTTTCAATTTCGGAACAGGAGCTAATATCAGGGGAAGAAGATCCACAGATTGGTCAAAGTGATCCATCATCATTGTGTATTCTTTCTACAAAATGTTTGGATGAAAATAGCACGTCAATAATGCAAGGCGATGCAAAGAACAAGAAACCGGAGGACAAAATTCTACAGACATCCCTCAATGAGCTAAAGAAAAAGAATAATTTTACGTTTTGGTGTGAAATGTGCCAGGTTGGATCTGACCATGAAAAAGTGATGGAAGGTCATTGGAAAGGTAAGAAACATTTGAAATCGCTTCAAAAGGCTACTGGTCAAGCTATATTAATCCCTCAGATCTTGGGCACTCAGGGTGAACATGGTTCTAATGGAGCTACTAAAAGAGATAATCAAGCATCTGATAATGTTGATGGGACTACCAAAGTGGAACATGTGAAAAGTACGGTTTTAAATGGCCATGAGGATGTCAAACAGGAAGTTGAAACTTCAATTTCTGGTGAAGGTCCGACCTGGGGATGCAGGGAGGCCATTGTAAGTTCTTTTATCGCTTGGATGATAATTCTTTTACGTATTTGGGATTTTTAAATGCAAGGAAAAAGTTTTGGATTAAACTATTGAAGTGGAACTTGGAATTGCTGTTGTCTTCCTTTCATATCGCACCTTTCTCTCAATAAGTACTAGTATCAGTCCCTGATCTGACTTGAATATCCAGACAAATGGGTTTTAAATTTTGTCGCTCCCTTTCCTTGAAAGCTGTTTTCTTTTTTATTGAATATTTTATATTCTCTACACCATTCAATGTAGGTTAAAGAGGAAAATTTGCCAAAATGCTGAGTATATTTTGCATTGAAAATTTGAAGTGTAGAACTCTTTACCTTTTTATAAAAATGTATTTTTCTTCACATTATTATGGATTGTTATGCTTGAGTTTTCTACACAGGTTAAACCTGAAGCCGATATCTCTGAAACAAAGAGGAAAGTTGCCTCTCCTGCAGCAGAGAGTACTGAAAATCAGCTTTCCGTAATTGGAAATGCAGAAGGGAACAGAGTGTGGAGTTGTGAGATTTGTGGAATTACTACCACAAGTGAGCGTGGCTTAATTGAACACAACCAAGGAAAGAAACACAAGTCCAAGGAAGCTGCTTGTGACAAATGACAATCCTGCAAAGAAGAATGCCCAAGGAACGGAACATAAAATTTCATGCTTTGGTGTGATATCTGCCCAAGTTGGAGGGGCTGACCTTGAAAAAGTGATGGAAGATATCATAGGAAAGGCAAGAAGCATATAATCTTTAGGAGGTTTCTCAACTTTTTGCTGTATCAACTAAACAATTATTCTAAAAAAAAAAAACTTGTATAGGAAATCAATTTCTGCTTTCAAATAAAAGGAGGCCCTGTTGAGTTGATGATCAGTTTGCCCTTTTATTGGTTTACCGAAAACACAAAAAAATTAATCAATTTTGAAAATTGTCGTCAATCTTACTTAATTAATCCAACGTCGACAAGGCTTGCACAATTTGGACTGCAAGTACGCATATCATACCTGGGATCGATGAAAAAAAAAGCTGGGGTGTTTTTTAAAGGTTATGGAGGAGTATGTATAATTAACTTAAACGACTTTCTCTCTCCGTTAATAAATTAACAAGAACATGCAGAACGGATAGAGTACTGCGCAATATACTTATAAGTAGTCTTTTATTTTTTATTTTTTTCTATTGTGAAAATACACACCTCATCATAATTAAAGGACTAAGTAAGAAAATTGCAGTAGTTGAGTTCTGCAGTACTTGGTGATCAGCAGCTTCTACTAGTCTAATTAACTTTTTATCTTGTCCTTACAATTACATAATGAAGTAGATGAGTTTGTCACCGGAGTTCAATAGAGGTTTTGGTGGTTCCGATAGGCGGTTGACAACCGACAAAGAGAATTTGAAGATTTTTAGTATTTTTGATAAAAAATGATTGTTAATTAATTACAGAATCTTGTCTGAACTAATATATACACAATAAGTCAGTTGACTAATCCTGACTATCTAACATTTACAAACTCACCCTATAACTATCAGTATTTACAACTTAATCCCTGACCTATACACAATTCTATAATGATTGAATATCCTTGTCAATTGATGAATCTGGAATTAATGAATCATCATATCCATTCTTCAACACACCCCCCCCTCAAGAGGAGCAGGGGAAGAACACCACATGCTCATCTTGCCGAGAAGAAACTGGAAAGCAGGTGCAGCTAGGGACTTGGTAAACAAGTCGGCAAGTTGGTGAGAAGAGCTGATGTGGTAAAGATCAATAAATCCAGAGGTATAGCAATCCCGTACAACATGACAATCGATTTCAATATGCCAAGTACGTTCATGAAAGACGGGATTACCTGCAATATAGATGGCTGCCCTGCTATCACACCAAAAGGAAATAGGCAACAACATAGAACATGAAGATCACTCAGCAAATAACTAAGCCACTGCAATTCCCTCACAGTGAAAGCCATTGCTCGATACTCAGCTTCAGCTGAGGAGCATGAAATGGTGGGTTGCTTCTTGGTAGTCCAGGAGACCAAGCAATCACCTAAAAACATACAGTAACCTGTGAGAGAGTGTCGAGTGAACTCATAGCATCCCCAATCCGCATCAGAATAGGCCCTAAGTGTAAGAGATGTTGATGCTGAGTAAAAAATCCCTTGAGTCCTAGTGCCAGCAATGCACTTCAGGAGATGGTGAGCTGCATTCCAATGAGATTGTCGAGGTGCATGAACAAACTGCGACAACTGCTACACAGTATACGCTAAGTCTGGTCTGGTGAAGCGAAGATATAATAATCTCCCAACAAGTCTCCTGAATTGAGATGAATCTGACAACAATGGTGTTTTATCCTTCTTCGAAAACCGAAGATCACTAGGAAAGGGAGTTGAAACCGGCTGAGCATCCAACATTCCTGCATTTATAAGTAAATCCTAAATATACTTATGCTGACTCAAATACATGCCAGCAACTCCACGAGCAATCTCGATCCCTAAGAAAAACTTTGCATGGCCTAAATCTTTTATGGTAAAGTCCTTATGGATCACAACTTTTACCTTTTCTATTTATGTCTCATCAGAACCTGTAATCAGCATATCATCAACATATACTAACAGCAGAATAAGCACTGATGCTAAATGAAAGACAAAAAGATAGGGATCGACATATGACTGTTTAAATCCATTATCTGTAAGAGCAGCTGTAAAGGCATGATTCCACTGCCTAGAAGCCTGTTTAAGGCCATAGAGGGATTTGTGCAGTTTACAAACCTGCCCTGGATGTGCCTTATCATATCCAGGAGGAGACAACATATACACATCCTCCTCCAATGTCCCATGAAGGAATGCGTTATTCATATCAAGCTGATGAACATTCCAGGTTTGATATACGGCAATAACAAGCAAAACCCTAACTGTCACAGTTTCTGCAACTGGGGAGAAAACTTCAAATTAATCTTCGCCCTCAACTTGGTTGTACCCCTTTGCAACGAGTCGTGCCTTGTAACGATCGATGGTTCCAACTGATTTACATTTCACTTATACACCCATTTGCAGCCTATTGCTTGTTTTCCGGGTGGTAAGAAAGTCAAAAACCAAGTACCATTGGTTTCCAGGGCCCCTAACTCCTCATTCATCGCAGCAATCCAATGACAGTGATTCCTAGCCTGATTAAAGGTCTGTGGCTCTCTTACAATAGACAGATTGGCTAGAAATCCTAGATGTGCATCAGAGAAAGAGTAGAACTCACTGGAGACTACATTGGCTAAGGTTGGTGGCAATTGTACACCACTGTTAGTGAGATGAAAATCATGTAGCCAGGTGGAGAGGTGTCGAGTTCTATTACTCCTACGAGGTTCAGGAGGAGGAGAATGAATGACTGAATTATCAGAAGATTGTGAAACAGGAGAATCTGTAGGGACTGGGGAATGTGATTGATAAGATGAAGAAGTGGAAGGGGAATGATTCAATGATGGTAAAGGTGAGGACTGAGATTCAGTTGGATTCTCTTGAGGAGAGGAAATGACTGTGGAGGGTTCATAATGAACATCGGCAAATATAGGACATGGTAAAGCTGGTTGGTCTATAATATCACCAGAAACCGTTTTACAAGGAAATGTGGTTTCCTGAAATTGGACATGTCTAGATACTATAATCCTTTTCTGATCAGCACAGTAAATTTTATATCCCTTCTGACCACTGGGATATCCAACAAAGAATCCTCTAATGGCTCTAGCATCAAACTTATCCCGGTCAGGTGACATGTTGTGAACAAAGGCCAAACAGCCAAAAGTCCTCAAATGACCGAGAGTAGGTGGTTTATGGTGCAGAATTTCGAAAGGAGTCTTCCAAAGAAGTAACTTGGAGGGTATTCTATTGATAAGATAGGTTGCCGTCAAAATGGATTCCCCCCAAAACCTTTTCAAAAGGCCAGATTGAAATAACAGTGATCTTGCGACTTGCAAAATGTGCTGGTGCTTTCTTTCTACCACCCCATTCTGTTGGGGTGTGTATGGACATGTTCTGTGATGAACAATGCCATTTTCCAAGAAAAGTTTTTGCACTGTGGCATTAATAAATTTAGAATCGTTGTCAGTCCTAAAGATCTTGACACGGTGGTTGTACTGAGTTTTGACTAAGATGAGAAACTGCCTAAGTGTTTCAGCTACTTGTGACTTGTGTTTATGGAGGAAAGTCCAAGTAGTCCTACTAAAATCATCCACTAGGGTGAGGAAAAACTGAGCATTTGTCAGAGACAGCATTTTATACGGCCCCCATACATCAGCATGAATCATCTCAAACACATCATTGGTCTTGATAGAACTTAAAGGAAAAGCTAGCTTGTGCGGTTTGGATAATGGAAAGGTTTCACAAAAGGACAATTTATTATCAAAATCAGCAGAATCAAGGTGGGTTACATGTTTTAAAACATCAGTAGAGGGGTGTTCTAATCTGTTATGCCAAGTAGACACAGCAACATTGACCTTAACTGTAGAATCTGAAACAGCAATACTACGATTACAAAGAGATACAACAGAAAATTTCCTTGAAACAGCTAGAACTAGCTTAGAGTATAAAATGTGTGTTTGTTGAATTGCAGCTTGTGTAAAAGAATAGGAATTGACTATGTAGAGCCCATTGACGACCATGCCTGCTCCAAGGACCTCATTACTCCTCAGGTCCTGTAGCAAACAAAATTCGTCAAAAAACTTCACATAGACACCTGAGGTTTGTGCAAGTTTTCTCACAGACAAAAGGTTATGTTTAAAGGTTGGTACACGTAATACAGATGAAAGTGTAAGTCTACTAGAAACTTCTACTTCTCCCATATGATGCATATCCCTAATACTCCCATCCGGCAGACAAACAGGCGTATATATATCAAATACTCTAGCATGAATCATCAGTGACATAGAGTAACACATGTGTGCCATGGCACCACTATCAGTTATCCAAGAATCATTACTGATCGCATTAACTAGATTAGCAGCAAAATGAGAAATGACACGACTACCTGCAAAATCCTGCAGATGAGCATAGTTCACTCTGGCATAGTTGGCAGAGGTTGTAGGAGCACCGTCCACAGCAGATTTCCCCTTCATCATTATTCCAAATTCTGCTTGCACCAAATTGGCAACCATCATTTGCCAATCTCCTTTAGAAAGTTCTGTGCCATCAAAAGGTGAATTTGTAAGGTGAGCCTGATGTTTGGGCATTTGTCGTGGCATCTGTTTGCCTGTTGATCCATGATATCCTTGCTGATTCTTACTCCCATACTTCTCTTCCCACCAATCCGGGTATCCTTTGATCAAGAAACAGTTATCTCTTATATGTCCATGTCTGTTGCACTTATTACAAAACAGTTTCATCTTTTCTTTCTTAGCAACAACCTTAATCTCCTTCCAATCCCTCTGTTCAGTTTCCTTCTTCCAAGTCCCTGGCTTAGCCATCATGGCCACATTCTCAGGTTGTACTGTAAGCATAGTACTTACCTGCTTCTGAGTTTCTTCATCCAGCAGCTTGGAGTAAATCTCATCCAGGCTGGGCATAGGATCCATGCGTAGAATCTCACTTCTGAGTGATTCATAACAGTCATTTAAACACATTAACATTTGATAGGCCTTATCCTCAGTTTCTCTTTCATACAACTTCCTCATAGCTTCTCCCTCACAAATAATCGGAGGTTTCCATTGACTATATTCATCCCAAAGTTTGTTCAGCTTGTTGTAATATTCTACCATGTTCTTATTTCCTTGCCTAATCAATGCCATTTCTCTCTTCAATTGATACACCAGAGAACCATTTTTCTTTCCATATCTAGCCACAATTGTGTCCCAAAATTGCTTAGCAGTGGGAATAAATGCAAAGCTACTGGCCTGACTAGCATCTATAGACTTTAGAATCCAAGATCGAACCATACTATCAACTCCCCTCCAACGAAGATAGTCAGGTGAATTAATTGAAGGCATGATCCAGGTACCGTCTACACACCCTAACTTCATCTTTGCATCCAAAGCAGTTATGGCAGACATTTTCCATATTAAAAAATTTGTAGTGGTTAAAGGAGTACTTACCAGCGACATCCCAGGGTTGTCAGAACCATGCAACTGGAGTTGTTCTTCCATGAACCAGTCCAGATCGCTATCAGTCATCGGACTTCGGGAAAATCCACGCTCAGTCCTTCGATTGTTCCTATCTGCTCTTCCAATTCCACGAGCGAATCGATGTTCCTCTTCCCACCGCTCTCGATCGCGGCTGAATTCTTCATCAGCGTTCTCCATAATGAAATTGAGTGATTAGGTTTTGTTCCTGAAGCACAAACAAGTAGATTTATTGGTTAAGTAATCAGGCAGGATCACTCCTGCTCTGATACCATCACCGGAGTTCAGCGGAGGTTTTGATGGTTCCGATAGGCAGTTGACAACCGACGGAGAGAATTTGAGGATTTTTAGTATCTTTGATAAAAAAAAATGGTTGTTAATTAATTATAAAATCTTGTCTGAGCTAATATATACTCAATAAGTCAGTTGACTAATCCTGATCATCTAATATTTACAAACTCACCCTATAACTATCACTATTTACAACCTAATCCCTGACATATACACAATTCTATAATGATTGAATATCCTTGTCAATTGATGGATCTGGAATTAATGAATCATCAGATCCATTCTTCAACAATTTGACCTGAATCGCATGATTGGCAGGCATATCCATTGGACCTTAATGAGTGTCGATAGCTTGATAGATGGTCAATTTGCATGCTAATCCGTATGTCCCAAAATTATTGTAAAGTTTCGATTTTTACTGTTAGTTCAATTTATAGTAAAAATAAAAATCTAAACTGGATAATAATTTCGAGATATAGGTGTGCAACTTTTGCTTAGTAGAAGTAGCTCCGCAAGAAAATTCATATCATAATTAAAATGATGACATCAATATACACTTCTCGTTTTGTTCCGAGTATCTACAAATCTGGGTTCTCTCAGTCAGATAAAATGACTAATTTGTCTTTTTCTTTTTTATTCCACCTCTTGCAAAATTGAGAAAAAAAAGAGTAATGACATGACTTACACATCATTAATTCAACTGAATTTAATGACGTAAATGGCAGCAAGATGAAACAACAGGTTTTCTCCAGGACCTTTCTCTTCGAAATTGCTTGTTCACGGTAAAGGGTTTTGAATTTGGTGAATCTTTACTCTATCAATATTATCTTATAATGTCAAAGATTACAAAAAATTTATATATTCTCTTCAAGCCGAAATTCTTGGTTTCAACTGGCTTAAAATAATTAACAGGCCAAAATTCTTCAGATTTTTTTCCCCCGCAGGAGAGCTGGGGTTGAGAGGGACGGTGATGCGTGAAAAGATTATGAAAGTTACGGCTATTTTTTAGGATGGATAAATATGTCATTTTGTTATAAATTTGTTTTGGATGCTAGAAGTTATTTTGGGAGAATCAATTCCCTTCAAATATATACTCTCTCTATCTCAAAATTAATGTTTAATTTAAAATTTCACTTTTAGTATAATTTGAGCTAGAAATAAAATTAAAATTAAAAAATAATTTTAGGACGGAGGGAATAAGTCGATGAACATGATGAGGTGTTAATCCACACAAATAATTATAAACCTATTTCAAGCTACGTAGCATAGAGAAGTAAGATCGTCTCCTCAGGGAACGATGGATTATTTCCTTCAAATTAATGTAAATGAGAATTTTTGTTGTTGTTTTAATCTATAATAAAGAAAACTCAAATAACAGAAAATAAATAAAAGAAAAGAAATCAAACTAACAAACTTCTGACTCAAATGACGGACAACTCAATTATTTCATTAATCACGGGTTGCAAAAACTATTCAAGCAATCTAATCATTCAACCAAAGATCTATTAGGATAGCGTAATAAATCAATTAATCTCCCTAAATTAACTAACCAAGTCTAGCACTCTATTAGTCCTTATCATAATCTGGCTGGGCATGATAGCGTTTCATGCCAAACAATGACGACATAAATACCAAGAAAATATAGTTGAACCAAAATCTAAAGAATTGAGATAGCTACAATTATTCAGTCTTGTCCTCTTGATTTCACATTTAAACTAATATACATATTCAACGTCTCACCAATACACATAATTTATCTAATTACTACTCAATACTGCCGGTTCGTGTCAATTACGTAACATTCAACTAGCAGATAACATTAAAAAAGAAAAACATCCAATCCAGTTGTCAATTTGAATGATATCTACTTTTATAAAATAAGAGTAAGAATCAACAAATACTTAAATCATAGGCAAGAACAATAAATTAAGAACTAAACCTCATAATAAAATAACTGAATAAATCCCTTGAATCAGAAAAAAAAATTTAGTCACTCATAGTTGGAAGTATGACGGCTTGATTCTTCATGAAAAAACAAAGAAAATTCAGAAAACGAAAAGTAAGAGGCGCTAGCTTATTCCTACGCACGTCTCCCCATTTATTAAACTATGAAGTCTATATATTTCAATACTTGGTCAGCCGCAAAGGAAAGAGAAAAAATTTCCAAAATTTTCCAATTAGTCATTCAACTTTATAATTTTGTCATTTTTGCTCCAAAACTTCTTTAATTGTGTAAAAAGGTCCCTAGACGTCCAGATTTGCCCAAAACAGCTCCAATCTCTTATTTTCCAGCTCCTAACATGAAATAATAACAAAACTAGTGAATTAAATCCATCCGAGTCCATAATAAACTAATAAAATATCAATAATTAAAATATAATTTGTGGACTCTATTAAATTCCCCAACATTTAAAGCATGTTTATCCTACAGCATTAAAGAACAAAGGAATTCTAGCTTTTCTTGTTTAAGATTCGCCTCAGGAACTTTAGCACTCAAAAGAAATCATGGTAACAATAAAACAAAAATTTATAATTGAGTCAAATACATTATGTGCTTTTACCCTTTAGCCCTTTGTGTGTGTGTAAACCACTCCCTAGGGACATCACTTTCAAATATAGCATAAACTACAAAAATTCAAATGCAAATATGCCACTGAAGAGTGAATTTAGGATTCCCAATTCAGACTATACTTCAATATAATGTTACTCCTACACATATTATGAAACTGAAGGCTTACAGTTACACCTCACATTATACAATTCAACGCACTTCCCTCATACCCATTCTTCGGTGGTCCATATGGCTTTTCTTTGGACTCTTTCCCACTCAGACCCATATCCAGAGTATTTTTCCATTTGATTTATGTAGTGATTTACAAAGTGGCTTAGCAACTTAGGACAATCTACTTACTCATATTTTCTCACCGGCGTACCTGGGGACACTCCGCTAGTTGTTTGCCAGACTTCGCACCTATCAATGATCTACCATCAACATTGGATACTCTTTCTTTTCTCCCTCTTTAAATTGTACCTACCTCAGAAAAGTATCCGCCAACAACCCCTCCCCCACACTTACTTAGCACAAAGTATTTTAAGCAAAAAGGTAAAAATGCTATTTTCAAACCACCACTCTCCCGTTTTTCGAGTTTGAAGTAACGATAAGCTTAATGCCTATTTTGGATTTATAATATAGCAAGGTCCCACATACACATGGTACAAATACTGAATGAATTAAATCACACTTTGGCATATCACATGAATTTAAACAATTACACATACATGTTAAGTTTATCCTAGAGTTATGGCTAAAATGCGCGAGTAAACTATTCAGCGTATAACACATAATGCACAGACTCAAAAGAAATTTTTGTCCCAATGTAATTAGACTTCATAGAGTCTCAAGTTAAGTTCATCATCGGCTATTTTTGGTATTTTTCATTTTTTTCTTTTTTCATTTTTTAACAAATAACACACAAAAGCAAATAAAGAAAACGGAAACCCCTCCCCCACACTTAATTTCTACATTGTCCTCAATGTTGTCTACTATACTCACACAAAAGAAGTAAACCAAGGAGCTAAGCATGACTTCATAGTGTGGGATAACACAATACGTTTAAATTCAATCACTCAAATTCAATCCCCAGAAAATAACTACTAAAAGCACAATTCAAACTCAACTCAAAGTAGCATAGAAGACAAAATATTTAAACAAGTTGAGACTTATAAACATTGACACTCTCAACACCAATTCAAAACAAACAAACTCCAAAGAAGACCCTCATCAAAACGGCAGCAAAAAGAATTAATAAAATCGAAACTGCTGTAAAAAGATGAGATTCGAGACTTCTTGGAGAATTTTGGTCCAAACTGAAAGCGCTGAAATTAGAGGTGGAGGCCGTCGGTAGCAGCAACAACAGCAACAATACTGGACTCCAAGCCTATAACTAGGAAAACTTTCTAACTTGGGCGGCGGAGAA